ACCCATTTCCCTCTCACAAGAGGATAGTACTCAAAGCAATATAATGCATAATCTTACTGAACCTGAATTGCCGATTTAGCCCCTGTTTAAATCTGTTTTGTTCCTCTCGCCCCTTGCCACCTTGTCCTCCCTCCCCCATGCATGCTGCCTGGTTCCCTTCTTTCCTGCTAACCCTGGACGTGCGGCCTGGGTTCCTTCTCCTCATTGACATTCTAGCAGCTCCTCCCCTGTGGATTACTCTGTCCCCGGGAATCTCCTGTTTCCCCTCTTCCTCCTGTATTAATAGCCCCTAGATCCACCCACTTCCAACTTTTCTCGTGCAGTGATGAACCTGATATGTGTAGTATTGCTCGAAACAAGGAAAAGTCAGTATGACCTACCAGCAAGGTGGACAGCCTTCAAAAGCTCCCTGAACCATTGGTAGTCATAGAATCATAGAATATCAGGGTTGGAAGGGACCTCAGGAGGTCATCTAGTCCAACCCCCTGCTCAAAGCAGGACCAATCCCCAACTAAATCATCCCAGCCAAGGCTTTGTCAAGCCTGACCTTAAAAATATCTTAAGGAAGGAGATTCCACCACCTCCCTAGGCAACGCATTCCAGTGTTTCACCACCCTCCTAGTGAAAAAGTTTTTCCTAATATCCAACCTAAACCTCTCCCGCTGCAACTTGAGACCATTACTCCTTGTTCTGTCATCAGCTACCACTGAGAACAGTCTAGATCCATCCTCTCTGGAACCCCCTTTCAGGTAGTTGAAAGCAGCTATCAAATCCCCCCTCATTCTTCTCTTCCGCAGACTAAACAATCCCAGTTCCCTCAGCCTCTCCTCATAAGTCATGTGTTCCAGTCCCCTAATCATTTTTGTTGCCCTCCGCTGGACTCTTTCCAATTTTTCCACATCCTCCTTGTAGTGTGGGGCCCAAAACTGGACACAGTACTCCAGATGAGGCCTCACCAATGTTGAATAGAGGGGAACGATCACGTCGCTTGATCTGCTGGCAATGCCCCTACGTATACATCCCAAAATGCCATTGGCCTTCTTGGCAACAAGGGCACACTGTTGATTCATATCCAGCTTCTCGTCCACTGTAACCCCTAGGTCCTTTTCTGCAGAACTGCTGCCAAGCCATTCGGTCCCTAGTCTGTAGCGGTGCATGGGGTTCTTCCGTCCTAAGTGCAGGACTCTACACTTGTCCTTGTTGAACCTCATCAGATTTCTTTTGGCCCAATCCTCTAATTTGTCTAGGGCCCTCTGTATCCTATCCCTACCCTCCAGCATATCTACCTCTCCTCCCAGTTTAGTGTCATCTGCAAACTTGAGGGTGCAATCCACACCATCCTCCAGATCATTTATGAAGATATTGAACAAAACCGGCCCCAGGACCAACCCTTGGGGCACTCCACTTGATACCGGCTGCCAACCAGACATGGAGCCATTGATCACTACCCGTTGAGCCCGACAATCTAGCCAACTTTCTATCCACCTTATAGTCCATTCATCCAGCCCATACTTCTTTAACTTGCTGGCAAGAATACTGTGGGAGACAGTGTCAAAAGCTTTGCTAAAGTCAAGGAACAACACGTCCACCGCTTTCCCCTCATCCACAGAGCCAGTTATCTCGTCATAGAAGGCAATTAGATTAGTCAGGCATGACTTGCCCTTGGTGAATCCATGCTGACTGTTCCTGATCACTTTCCTCTCCTTTAAGTGCTTCAGAATTGATTTCTTGAGGACATGCTCCATGATTTTTCCAGGGACTGAGGTGAGGCTGACTGGCCTGTAGTTCCCCGGATCCTCCTTCTTCCCTTTTTTAAAGATGGGCACTACATCAGCCTTTTTCCAGTCGTCCGGGACTTCCCCAGATCGCCATGAGTTTTCAAAGATAATGGCCAATGGCTCTGCAATCACATCCGCCAACTCCTTTAGCACTCTCGGATGCAGCGCATCCGGCCCCATGGACTTGTGCTCGTCCAGCTTTTCTAAATAGTCCCGAACCACTTCTTTCTCCACAGAGGGCTGGTCACCTCCTCCCCATGCTGTGCTGCCCAGTGCAGTAGTCTGGGAGCTGACCTTGTTCGTGAAGACAGAGGCAAAAAAAGCATTGAGTACATTAGCTTTTTCATATCCTCTGTCACTAGGTTGCCTCGATCATTCAGTAAGGGGCCCACACTTTCCTTGACTTTCTTCTTGTTGCTAACATACCTGAAGAAACCCTTCTTGTTACTCTTAACATCTCTTGCTAGCTGCAACTCCAGGTGTGATTTGGCCTTCCTGATTTCACTCCTGCATCCCTGAGCAATATTTCTGTACTCCTCCTTGGTCATTTGTCCAATCTTCCACTTCTTGTAAGCTTTTTTGTGTTCAAGATCACCAAAGATTTCACTGTTAAGCCAAGCTGGTCGCCTGCCCTATTTACTATTCTTTCTATACATCGGGATGGTTTGTCCCTGTAACCTCAATAAAGATTCTTTAAAATACAGCCAGCTCTCCTGGACTCCTTTCCCCCTCATGTTATTCTCCCAGGGGATCCTGCCCATCAGTTCCCTGAGGGAGTCAAAGTCTGCTTTTCTGAAGTCCAGGGACCATATTCTGCTGCTCTCCTTTCTTCCCTGTGTCAGGATCCTGAACTCAACCATCTCATGGTCACTGCCTCCCAGGTTCCCATCCACTTTAGCTTCCCCTACTAATTCTTCCCGGTTTGTGAGCAGCAGGTCAAAAAGAGCTCTGCCCCTGATCGCAGTTGAAATGTCAGCTGCTTTTAACACTTTTATCAAAGTTTTGATTTTAGACTAAAACACTGAAAGGTAAATTCTCAGAACAGCCCAGAGATTTAAATCATATAATATCTACACTTTATTTCAAAGGAGCTCAGGTTTTTTTTGTTTTGTTTTTTGTTTTTTTAACTGCTGCTATGTACCACTTGCTAGGAAAAAATCTAGAGCTCAGCTCCTCTCACTTTAATTACTGCCAGAAGAATTAAAATAAAAACCTCTCTCCAAAAGCATGTCTTTACTACCCTATATGCACATCAAAGAGCATTTTAAAAGTCATGCCTCTGGGCATCTGAAATTCTGGTCAACATGAGGTCAGCAAGCACAACATCCAGGGTATTTTCTCCTGAGAAGCTGTATAAAAATATATATTTTTGGAATGGTAAGAAAAGATGCATGTTACTTTGTGGAATGGTTTATGATGTCACAAAATCATGCAAATTAAGAGATGGAAAAGACCTACAGTATTAGGTTAATTAGTCCATCTCCCTGTTAGTGCAGGATTAGTCCCTGAAGTCCATTTGATTTTTATAAACACATTCTGTAGTGCAGATACACAAGTAGACGAGGCTGTAGAACTGTTTTGTTTTCACCTTGCACTGACTCTGAGAAGATAGAATGAAACCTTGTTTATTTGATCCTTCTAGATTTTTCTGTTTCAGAAAGAGCTTGTGAAGGTTGGAGATCAATCTGCTGGTGAGGTGTGACCCCTGAAGTACAGGGAATAATATCATGATACTCTCCTTTCCATAGGGCTTCTATCAGCACACAGCCTGCAACCCTTGTCCCTTGCCTTGGTCTATTTGTGCATGTTAAAGTGAGCTGATAACAAGGGTCCTCAGAAGACATCCCTCCTCCAATTTAGGAGGAAGTCGGGAGCCTAGGATTCTTCTCAACCAGCTACATCTAAGTACAACCTCTTTCCCTGTCTATGCTAGGATTTTACAATTTTAGCCACCACAGGTTGGCGCGCTCATCATAAAAACCCACCTTTTTCCTAAACACAGTCATAGTTGCTCAGGTTTAACTAAATGCATAATCTTAAACCAATCTAGTGTTCATCCACATTCGGAAAAAAGGTGTGTTCTTACCTCCTATTAGCTAACACAAGATAACTAACACAACTTGGACTGGAGTTCGGTCTCCGATCTCCCCCACGCTACAACATCTACACAGCTATCTTTAGCACACTAACCCAAGTCTGTGACCTCAGGCTGGGAGGCTGGCTCCTAGACACAGTGTAGCCATACCCTAAGGAGCAGTAACATTAGAACAAGCCTGGCTAAAGATGATCCCATAAGCCACTCTAATTATGAAATCTTCTGCTTCCCTGAAGCTGGATCATTGCTTGCTGGGGCTCACTGCCTCCATCCTCCTCTTCTGTTAAAATAAAGGGCAGCTCCAGCAATCTGCTCTGTTTGGAAGAATGACAGGGGTGCCAAAATCACAAGTCTCCTTATATTTTTGTTTTTGTTTTTCTTAAAGCCCTGAGTGCTGCACAGCAGAGAGCACAGGAGCCTCTCAACTTTCATTTTAAAACGATGTAGGTTTCTAGCCTTTCCGGCTGCTGAGGAAAGCTTGAAAATGTGACCCAAGTGCACCCCAAAGTCCCAGAAACCAGAAGGCAAATAAAGAGATAAATTGGTTTAAAAATCAGGCAATCTCAGGAGTTTGGGGGGGGCAGAACCCTGATTTTTAACTGCTGGGGAGCTGACGATGCTAAAATGAGGTGCTGTCTCCAATCCCCTACCATACTACCATGACACCCTCCTTGGTCCAACCATCCCCTAAGAGGGGACATGGTTCCCCCTCTCACCTGCTGGTATTGGAGGGGTCAGGCCCCCTTTCTCTGTTAGCCCCACAACGCCTTGTTTCCCCTTGTCCCTGCCTCTTTTGCCCCACCTTATCCCAGCCTTGCCTGCCCCTGCCCCTAGTGGTTCCCCTGGTTTGGGGGCACAGCCCCCAGTGGGTGCCTAGGCTAGGTGAGTTGGCCAAGGCTCCACAGGGCATCTGTGGCACAGGCGGGACTCGAACCCAGTGCTCCCCAGCTCCAGAGGCGGGCCCTAACCCCCGGCCTCGCGCCTCTCGCCCGCGCGCGCGCGCACACGCCCGCGGGCCCGCGAGCGTCAGGCCCCCGCCCCCTCGCCCCGGCCCCGCCCACCCGGGGCGGTCTCGCCTGACGGCCGTTGCAAAGGACTTTTTCAGCAGCCGCAAGTGAGGTGAGTCGTGGCCCTTCGGGGCGGGAGGGAGGAAGTGTTATTGCCCCGGCGGGGGTGCCCTCCACCCTCGCGCACACAGCTGCGTGGGGGGGGCGATCCCCCTTTCCCGGAGCGGGATGAGCGCGGCGGGCCAGAGCCGCTGTCCCCCGGGTCTTGGCCCCGGTGTGAGGCTCTCCCGGGCGCTGCTATAGCGGGCGGTGAGGCCCGGGAGGGGGCTGGCGTGGAGCGGGGGGGGGGCGGGGTGACTGTGTGTCGGGCCGACGTTTCTGTGGCCGTAGCCCCAGAAGCCCTAAGCCGGCTGGGCACCGTTCAGACGGTCCTAGCCCCAAAGCGCTGACCGTGTAAGAGGGGGTGGGTCGTGGCCCTGCTTTCGGGGCGCCCCATGAAGCATTGGGGGAAGGCTCTTCTCCCGTGGCAAGGGCCCGCCAGGGGAGTGGAGGCTGCCAGGAAGGACTCTGGGGATGGGGCAGGCAGAAGGATCAGCAGGGTGGCCTTAAAACTGGGGGCTTGCACTCTGTGGGAGCCCTGTGGTTTGGCTACGATTCAGCGGTGGATTTCTTCTCATCCTTCCAGCAAAACCAGAAGGAATGAGACAGCCCAGCTTTTCTCACGGCTTTTATCTGTGAATTTCTTATGAACATCATTGTAGTATCTGTTGTTTAATAGCTAAAAAGTGTCGTAGGTATGTAAGGCACTCTAGGGAAATAAAAATACTGTCCAAACAGTCCTATCCCCAACAGCTTTCAATCTAAGGGTACGTCTACATTATAGTGCTTCAGGGTAGATGCTTCCTGTCAGTGGAAGGGGGTTTTCTGTGGATATAGGTAATCCACCTCTCTGAGGCATGTTCGATACGACACAGTTAGGCTACTGTAAGGCAGTTTAGGTCGAACTAACTCTCTGCACGTCTACACTAAAATGTAGCTCCCACTGATATAACTCGCCCACTACACTGACTTAATAACTCCACCTCCATGGGAGGCGTAATGATTAAGTCGCTGTAGTTAGAGCGATACAGCTTCCGTGTAGACACTGTGTTGCTTACATCGAGTGTTGCTGCCTTTCAGAAATCATCTCACAATGCCCCACGCTGGCAGCTAAATTGGTGCAAGCGCTTCTGGTGAGGACATGGGCCGCTGATGAGCATAGTGTGGATGTATAAAACCAATTCAATTACTGCAGTGGCTGTATGTTGATGTAACTTAGGTCAACTTAATTTTGTAGTGTAGACTTGCCCTGAGAGGGAATAACTAAATAGACAGAATAATCCCATCAACCTAGCTGCATCTACAAGGGAGGTTAGGTTGACCTAACTGCGTTGCTGGGGGCACAGTTTTTCACATCCCTGATTGATGTAGCTAAGTCAACCTAAGTTTTAGGTGTAGACCAGGCCTTAGCTACACTTGCATGGGGTCTGGTGACAACAGACAAAGGAGGGAATGGAATAAGATCACAAAGAAGACACAAAGCCAGCCATGAGCAGTGATTTCTCCATCAGAGTTTGGAGGGGGATAATTGCATGTTGTTTTGGGTTGTTCCCTGAGAGTCAGATGAGGATTGTAAATTAGGTGTTTTTTGTCGTGCGCCAGCACAGGTCCAGCTGCAGTAACGTTGTGATCTGCTGTGTGACTACTGGGCCGATACTCTGGCAGAGCCAATGCTAGATCTGGAAGTGGTTCCCGAGCGATCTCTTGGGAATGAACAATGGGAATTCACCTTGGGTAAGTCCTGTGCTTGGCACTTGCCTTGTCATCACATTTTTCCATGCTGTAGTAGTGATGGCCAGAGGTTTCCCTAATGCTTCTAGCATTATTCTGAATTACTGAAGATGGAATTCCTCAAGACTTTTTTTTTCTCCTTTGTTTTTGGCAGTTATTTTAAAAAGGCAAAGTAATGCTAACTTTTATATAATACTGAGAATATTAATGTATATATGTAAGAATACTTCATGTTTGTTTTTAAGGGTGCTCTTAGACTGACTGATGTTTTATTTATCATCTGCGTTTCCTTATATTCATAATTCCTCCAAAGCCTCTTGTTGCTATTTTGGACCAGTAATTTTGAGTAACACCCAGAGGAGGTGTCCTAGATGTACTGATCATAGTCTGGGTAACGTCAATCAAGTGACATCAGCCTGCTCAAAAACTTACTAATACTTTGCATTTATAGAGTGATTTTTGTACAAGGATCACTAAGCAATTTACAAATACTATTTAAACGTCATGACATCCTCATTGGGGTAACTGAATTGTGGCATTTCCATTTTACCAATGAGGAAACAGAGTTTAAATTACTTGCCCAAGGTCACATAATAAGCCTTTCTCCTTCCAGGGGTTCTATACAGTCTTCCTTAGACCACATTTCTTTGGTAGATTCCTCTTCCCTTCCCCCCAGCAGTGTATCAGAGAGAACTCTTACAACCAATCCAAATTTAGTTGATGGTGTTCAGAACCAATTCGAGGCACTTAAGTGTAGCAGTAGATTTTTATATGTTATGGGTCCTCCTACAAATGATTGATTCTTCAGACCTATATTTTAATAATAAGCAATCAGCATTTAAACATTACTACAGTTTGTCCTAATTGTAAAGCAGTTATGAGGTTATTCTACGGGGGGTTAGGAATTTCTGCACCATACTGCTTTGCCCGGAATTTCCCAATATTGCTGGTTCTGAACCACTGGGGTAACAATGGTGGGAGTACTGGTAAAGAGAGCTGCAGATGGGAGCCAGCGTTTTCGGCACCATTTTTAATCTAAACAGTGCAGAAGCTGTTGTTTCAGACATGAACTGATAAGCGGAAAAGGTTTTGGTTTCGTGTCTATATTAGGCAATTGTCTTTTCGATAAGCAGCTCTCAAATGGGTATATTATGGTTATGGTAGCAGCAGTGCAGTTAAGCCTGTTCAAAGCCACAATTGCCTCTCAATACACTGTCTTTCTGAACTGTTCTTGAAAGCTGACATTTTCCATGCTTATTCTTAATCCAAAGAGTGAAGTTCTTTTTTATAAAGTTTCATAAAATTCTGCTTGACCATTTGAAGTCACTAGTATATAGGGTGAGGGGAAGAAAAGATGTAGACAATATTTGTTTTTTGCTCTACTAAGTCAAAAGCTAATTCATTTTGGCTCTAATCTGGCAAAGACTTATGCGTATGTTTAATTTTATGAGTTGTGAATAGACCTACATTGCATAAAGTGTGTGTAATTTTTTGCAGTTTGTGAACCTTGAAAAGCTCAAAGATTTGGCGTGTACTTAGCTTTCAGTTTGCAAGGCTTGAATTCCTACATCTGAAAACTAGCAGCTTGTGCAGTATTTCACCGTTTACTATTTTAATTGTACAATTAATTTGATTAACCGAATATTTGTATATTCAAATAGTCACTGAAATAAATGCATTTACACACACAGTTCAGGGTGGTTACATGTATTGCAGTGGTCTCCAACTTTTTTACGCCCAAGATCACTTTTTGAATTTAAGGGCAACCCAGGATCTACCCCGCCCCTTCCCCAAAGCCCAGTCACGCTCACTCCATCCCCTCTGCTCTCTGTCACTTGCTCTTCTGCACCTTCACCCACTTTCACCGGGCTGGGGTAAGTGGTTGAGGTTCAGGATGGGGTGTGGGCTCTGGACTGGGGCTGAGGGGTTCGCAGTGTGGGAGCGGGCTCTGGGCTGAGCCTGGGGCAGGGGGTTTGGGGTATAGGAGGTTTGGGGTGAGGGGGTGCAAGCTCTGGGAGGGAGTTCGGGTGCAGGAGGGGGCTCTGGACTGGGGCAGAGTGTTGAGGTGCAGGAGGGGGTATGGGGTGCTGGCTCCGGGCCAGTGCTCAGGGCTGGGGCTTGGGGTGCAGCCTCCCTCCGGGCAGCACTTACCTTGGGCGCCTCCCAGTTGGCAGCACAGCAAGGCTAAGGCAGGCTTCCTGCCTACCCACGCCACTCCCGGAAGGGGCCAGCATGCCCCTGGGGGTGCGTGGGGGGACACACGGTTCTGCGCGTTGCCCCTGTCTGCAAGCACCGCCCCCACAGCTCCCAGTGGCCACAGCTCCCCGTTCCCGGCAAGTGGGAGGTACGGGGGCAGTGCTTGCAGGCAGGAGCAGCGCGCGGAGGGAGACCCCTGTCCCCAGCCTGGGGCCATGCTGGCTGCTTCCAGGAGTGGCATGGGGCAGGGGCTGGCAGGGAGCCTGCCTTAGCGGCTGCCCTGCTGCACCACTGGAGATCAGGATCGACTGGGAGATCATCTAGGATCGACCGGTTGGTGACCACTGATGTATTGTATACCTGAAAATACAGAAATAAACTTGTCCTGCGTTTAATTCATTGTGCAACAATTTGAATCTTATCACGAAGTAAATACATGGCTGTCATCTTCAGGTTAGTTACGTGCTACGTATTCTGACTAAGACTCTCCTTGTTGGAACTTAGATATCAGTGCTTTCGCTATACTAATAACCTGTTGGTATAGCGAGCTCACTGCTGGTTCAGCCTTGCCTAACTTAACTGATCTTTCTGTGTTTGTATTATCTGAAGTTCAATAAAAGCTACTTGAAAATAGTTATCAACACTGCACAGGTTTATTTCCGTGTGTGGGCACTCATTGTTTTTCTTTCATTTATAAAAAATAAACAAGCACAAGGAAATAAAATGCAAACAAACCTGCTAATGCCACCTTAAAGTTAAGATTACATATACATGCACACACAACAGGAAATTCATAGTTATAGTTCCTAGTTTAAACATAGCTCTGTCATATGAATGTGTAATATATAATTAGTGTGGCCAGGTAGGTTAGAATAGGGGACTAACTGGCAGTCAAGACACTTAAGCTCTGTCTGCTTTGGGGATATCTTGTCAAATTTCCCACTGTTGCTAAAAATTGTTTCGGTTCCACCAGTTGGAGCAATGTTGGGACCCCTACTGTAAACGGATTGCTGGCTGCTCCTGATATTTTGAGCACCATGTTGTCTATACCCGTTCTGGGCAAAATTAGATTACGTGGTTCTTCAAATGCTGATGACTTGTGCTCTGCGTGTTAAACCATAGTGGAGATGATTAGTGTGAGATGTCTACACAATTTTCCTGGTGTACACAAAACCTTGGATTCTGTTCCTGGGTGTACTGCATATAATAGTACCATATTGTCATCAACTTTCTATTTGATATACTTTACAAAAATTTACTTACATTTCTCTTGCTTTTGTTATACTTCCTTTCCCTTCTTAGTTTCACTCATGTATTTTCTATCAGTCATGGTGCATCTTTTCCTACATTGACCTCAGTGGCTGTTTCCGCTTGTTATCTTTGCTTTCCCTCCCCGCACCTCACCTCCCCACACACAGAGGTGGGGCTTAGAAACTTCTTCCCACTCTACCCCCCCATATAACTTACTAATTTTTAGTGCATTAAGTGTTGGAAAACCTTATTTGTTCCATGCAAGGACTGATTATGCAGCCTCTTCAGCACACCCAGCCTCTGATGATCATAGGAGAGAGCATGAAGTTTGGAGATCAATCTGAGTATCACACACAGCAGCTGAGAGCACTGCCTCTGTGGGTCAGCTTGTCTGTTCTTATTTAAAATAATTTAAAAATGAGTAAGTATTTCTTTCTCTATCTCCTGGGAGTAAAATCTGTCATTTATGAAGAAATTTGTTCTTCTCACTGACATGTACTCCTGGGAACAACTTTATATCCAGTACTTACATTTGATCAGTCATCTTCAAATTTGCCTATTCTGGAGTATCTTGCACCCATAATTCTCCACCAATGAAAGCAGCAGCGGGGAGAGGACTGAAGGAAAGGGTTTGACAACACGGTGGTAAAAATGTCTGCATCACATCTCTGCTACAGCTTCCACGATTGCTATGGTGGAACTGTCCTGGCAACAAATTACAGTAGAACTTCAGAGTTACGAACACTGGAGTTACAAACTGACACCTCATTTGGAACTGCAAGTACACAATCAGGAGCAGCAGAGACAGAGGGGGAAAAAAGGCAAATGCATTAAAGTACTGTGTTAAATGTAAACTACTAAAAAAATAAAGGGAAAGTTTTTGAAAAAAGGTTTGACAATGTAAGGAAACTGTTTCTAGTGCTTGTTTCATTTAAATTAAGATGATTAAAAGCACAATTTGTCTTCTGCATAGTGGAGTTTCAAAGTTGTGTTAAGTCAGTGTTCAGCTATAGCTTTTGAAAGAACAACCATAACCTTTTGTTCAGAGTTACAAACATTTCAGAGTTACGAACAACCTCCATTCCCGAGGGGTTCATAACTCTGAGGTTCTACTGTAGATGTAGCTTTTTTTTCTAATATAGACAAGTTCTCATCTCTTGTTTTAGGGGTTGATGTTACATAGCTGATTCTATACAGAGAATAGAGCCTTACTTAAATTTAAGATGTAACTTATATCCGTCAATTAAAAATTTACATTTCATAGAATATCAGGGTTGGAAGGAACCTTAGGAGATCATCTAGTCCAATCCCCTGCTCAAAGCAGGACCAGTCCGCAATGTTTGCCCCAGATCCCTAAATGGCCCCCTCAAGGATTGAACTCACACTCCTGGGTTTAGCAGGCCAATGCTCAAACCACTGAGCTATCCCTCCCCCTAAAAGCTATCTGTGCCCACATGCCGTGATATCACTGTCAAAGTGATGCCATGACTCGGATTCGAACCGAGGTTGCTGTGGCCATAACGCAGAGTACTAACCACTATACGAGCTACTGGGGCCCTATTATAGTATAAGAGATAATCTGACCAAAATAGCACATACCATCGTATATTTTTCTGAATAGGGACACTTTGCTTTATTTAAAATTTAAAAATTAGAAATAAGAAAATAATTTAGAAAGGCAAGGAGCTAAAATAAATAACAAATCAGAACTATAAAAGCTAAAATGACATGTAGCAATCAATTACATTTCTGTATGGGTTTATAAGCTTTTTTTAGCTGCCAAATTGTGATATTGGAACCAGGAATATATGTGCAACTTGTTTACACATGATCACATTTCATTAAAAGATACAAAAAAAGTTTTGACCACATTGCTGAAGGGGAGCTGACGCTACACTATTCTCTATGTAGTATCAACTGTGTAACATCAACTGTGAAAACAAGAGATTATTTAGTTTAAAGTCTGTAATGAGCTTTGTTAGAAACTGAATTGCAGCAGGCTCTTACCATTAAACCACATACTTAGCTTAACTTGCATACCTTACTTGACTCTGCAAAAAGAGTTTATTTTAGAAATAATGGTGTGTAATGGGCTTTGGATCAGGCCCTTAGACACATTATTGGAGAATTAAATCCACCAATAAAGGTGATTCAAATAGAAAACTGCTGTAAACATGTAAGAAAAACGTGGACTGCATAAACTTTGGCTTTTTATTTTCCCTTTGTTGGAGATAATCGGTCTGTATTTTTTGAGTAAAAGAACTTTGTTGCTTGGTGGATAAGCACAGACCTTTCTGTTCCAGAAACACTGCTGAGGTCACAAGTGAAGTAGGCTTTTGTTATTGTTTGCAAATCCTTATGTTGCAACTTACTACTTTTAGGTGATGAGCCAATTTTACCTCACCTTTAACCTGTCTGTTGGCCTAATTTATTATCTGTGTGGACAAATTAGAGAAATATGACTTGTGTTTATTTACAGGAATGCCATTGGCTCAAGCTGTAGCAATTCTTCAGAAACACTGTCGTATTATCAAAAACGTCCAGGTTCTCTACAGTGAGCAGGTGAGTAGAGAATGACCAGGCCAGGTTGTTAAAGTAATAATTTTGTGATAACTAAGCAATAAGATACTAAGGTGTGTCAATGTTGTGTAATGCTACACGCTGTGTATTGTTTAGCCACGTATTGTGGCTGTTGTCTAATATCACTCATCCTGAAGTGTGTGGCTTTTAAAAGTGGCTAGTTAAATATTGTGTGTTTTTTTGAATAACTCTTTGTGGAGGGTAATCAAAATATTTTATCAGCTCCTAGGATTCGTTGTTATGGCATGATATTGCTATAGCTTGGCATTTTCAGGCACCAATCAAGCTTTCTTTGGTGAATGCTACTTTTTTATGTTGACATGTTTTAGTAGGATGGGGAGCTCTGGAAAATAGTGTGTTGAGAAAGGGGAGTGTATTGCTAAGGTTGCTATACTGAGTAGTTCTGACTCTCTTGATATAAAAGGATTTAAACAAGTAACGGCGGTTTTGAAACTAAGTTTAGTTTTTATAGTATAGGAAAGGACTTCTGCAGCTCTGCTCTTTAAATAGCTGGGCAGAGATCGTCCGGTCTTTTTGCATTGTTTCTGTCAAGTGTTGTAATATTTTGTAATGGTGAGATGCTTCTCACTTTCTCCATTCCTGTCTGATGCAATGATGATGAGCCCATTGGAAATGCTGCTCCTGCTCTTCTGTGCATCAGCAGTTCTGCTTGCAAAAGCAGATGCAGTAATTTAAAACACCTAGATGTCTTAATCATGCTTTTGCACTATTTAAACATTATCCAGTGTTACATTAGTTGCTATGCTTTTGATGTGCCTCCCGCTTTGTATGCTATAGTGTGCTGGAGGCAAAATCTATTAACTAGGTGCAATAAAATATATTTTTGAACTTCTCTAGTTTTGGGGGGAGTGTGAGGAAGGGAGGTGGGGATACCAAATACCCTGAAAATACATATGAGTTGCCAGTTCTCAGCTACAATAAGCTTGTAATGCGTCCTGTTGTTTTTAGGAAGCAGGAGATTAGAAGACTTTTTCACATTGTCCTTAACTAAATCTGTTACAATTTGAATTTGTATCAACAATCTAAAGATTGAGCAAGAGATCCTCTGATATATGAGTACAAAAATAATCAAGGAAGAATCCTGACTGTTTGGTTTACTGCCAGATACATATCTCATTAATTAAATTACTTTTATCCCTTTTTTTCCTTTCCAGCTAATATAGATTTATGGCTTTCATAATGGCAACATATTTACTTTGCAAATTAGAAATGTAGCCCATTACAAATAATACATCATACCGTCTGTATGAGAGTGGTTAGTAACAGCAGTAGTTTGTGTCCCACAGTTTCTCAACCCCAGTCAGTACAGTGCGCTGCAGAATATCTTCTGGTTTATTTAGAAGAATAATGTGATCCTTGTTTCATTCTATGATGTGGTGTAATAGAAGCTTGAGCTTTGTGCTTTTACAAAGCTTATCCTGAGACTGACCAGGGATCTTTCCTCAAAGACCTTTGTTCATCTTCACTCCTCAAATGATCATAAATATAGAAATGTCTTTATTGTATCGTGTTGCCTGAAGGAAAATGTTTGATAGGTACAGTACCAAAGATAAAGATATTTTGAGCATTGGGAGTGGTGCTAAACACCTGGGTTTAGATTATAACCACTCCATACTAAGCCCTACAACTGACTGCATGTGGACTCAACCTTGTCTTGGGGCAGATCCTCATTGATTTCAGTGGGGCCTCATGGGTGCAGGGATCTGCTGGTGCGGTCACTTGGTTTCAGGGCCCTAATGAAGTGTCTCTTTTATGTTGTCTGGTCAAAAAGAGTTATGTTCAATTTAAACATTGAGAATAACTCATCTTCCCCATGACTTTTTTTAAAACGTATGTTTAAACAATAGAACATAATAGCTTAAAATATTTGAGCATCTAGGCCAGGGGTGGCCAACCTGAGCCTGAGAGGGAGCCAGAATTTACCAATGTACATTGCCAAAGAGCCACAGTAATACGACAGCAGACCCTCCATCATCTCTTCCCCCCCCCCAGCTCCCAGCACCTCCCACTCACTGGCAGCCCCACGGATCACCCTCCTCCAGCTGTTTCGTGGCATGCAGGAGGCTGCGGGGGGGAGGAGTGAGGGCATGACAGGCTCAGTGGAGGGGGTGCGAAGGGGTGGAGTGGGGGTAGGGCCTGTGGCAGAGCCAGGGGTTGAGCAGTGAGCACCCTCCAGCACATTGGAAAGTTAGCGTCTGTAGCTCCAGCCCCAGAGTTGGGGCCTATACAAGGAGCCGCATATAAACTTCTGAAGAGCCCCAGGTTGGCCACCCCTGATCTGGACTACTATCCTGAAACTCCCAAGAGCATGTGTTAATTCTTTAAAAACTTACCTAAAAAGACTTCTCAAATTCAGCCAGCTCTGTTCATATTAAGGGTCTGATCTTAACATACGTGGAAAGCCTGAAATGCAACAGGAAAGCTTTATGAACCTGTCTCTGAAACTGTAAATTGAGGACAAAGTTTAATTCTGGGATTTTCTGTCATACTTAGTGTGATTTTTAGTACTCAAAATGAAACTTAGAGTACTGAAAGTCACATTAATTTAACTTGTGTCTCCCAAGTTTCTTTCTCCTGGCCATAAAATCTGCCAGAAGGGAAGATGAGCTGCAGGCTGTGGTAATTACCAAGCCTTCTCTCAGCTCTTTGTTTTCCTTCATTAATGATGTTTTCAACTTTCACACTAATCCTGAATTAAATTTTTAAACATCCTGCCTAGAACCTTAGAACTCAATTTGCTTAATCTCCTGGATATGAGCTACTAAAATCAGTATAATGCAGAGCCCATCACATATATTCAGGAAAGTTATTTAGTATGTCTTCATCATTACACAGTGGATGTTCTTAACTCTATGCGTAAGCTCTCTGAATTAATTTTCTAAGGCATCAGAAAGGACTATCGGTGCCAGCATTAGAGTCATTCTCTTGATGTATGACATGCTTAAGTACCTCCTAATTCTAGACAACATTGCACATTTGCATGTTTACTTTCTGCTAGCTACCTTATTGCTTGGGTAGAACTGAACTGGTTTTCTTTAAGGGTGGATGAGATGCTTTGTATGGAGTGGTTATAATCTAAACACAAATGTGTTTAGCACCATTCCCAGTGCTCAAAATATCTTTATCTTTGGTACTGTACCTGTTAAAAATTTTCCCTCAGGAAACATGATACTATAAAGACATTTCTATGTTTATTATCATTTGAGGACTGAAGAGCAAGAATGCTTGCTGTTGGAGTTTCTGATGGCATTCCTGAGTCTGTCTCTCCCCCTCTCATGCTAAAGTATTTACCATTTCCCCTTCTCATAGTTAAAGGGGCATTGTCAGTTGATTAAAGGCCCCCAAATGTTCTTTCCATAAAGGAAAACAAATCCTCTGTGGCATTTCTGGAGAGAGTACTTTTGTGTATTGTTATAGTAGCAGTTAAAACAAATCACAGGGAAAATGTACAGTACATACAATATTTCAAACCACCTTTGGTCTAACTACAAAACAATCATGGAATAAACCGCTTTTATTTTGCACCTTCGACTTTCTTTTATTTAAAAAGTGGATTAGATAGGAGCCTGGTTTAAATAGTCAAAGGGATTTAAAATCATCTTGTTCTGAGGTCCAGGATTCGCTCTATTCAGTTGTGGACCTATGGCAGTTTTCAGGTTAGGTTACAAGATATCAATCAGGGATAGCAATGAAAGTGCTTTCCTGAAGTTTTTCAGTGGCATAAAGCATCTATTCTCAGTTGTTTATGAGAAATCTGTCTTTAAAACTATGCAATTCTGATGTATAGAAAACATTACTTATATTTTACAAAAATAGTATTGATTTCTCTCATCTGGAGGCCTGTACAGTTGGCTTACTTTAATTATTGAATCTGACTAAAAATCATAGATATACTGTGGATATAGCTCTCCCTTCTGCTGCCATTACAATCTGTTCATGTTAGGTCAACTTCTCATAGTACTGTCCCCACATTTGAGTTCCTCCAGAGGGGCAGGATTCACAGCAAGACTTATGGTGCTGTGCATTATCTTAGGTTGTGAATTCTAGTGTTGTTGGCTGCCTTTGCCTATCTACCAACCTTCTCCCCTGCAGGGAAAAGTTGGAAAGGTGGGTTTCATTGTGTGTGTGTGGGAATGGGGGGTATGTGGTCAGACTGGCAGTGCTAGAGGCAAATTACTGAGTATGCCTGGACTCTGTTGGGAATAGAGAACTGCTACCAAGGTATGCCACTGAAAATAGAGACAGCCTTAGAGTCTGATCCAAAACTCGTTGAACCCAGTCAAATATCTGTTCACTTCAGTGGGCTTTTGTTTAGGCCCCTAGTTATTATGACTCACAATAACTAGGGAAACCTAAATTTGCAGCATAAGGGTCTGAAATATTCCATTTAGAACCTTACCCAGACTGGTTATGATATTCTTTGATATTTGAAGTGCATACCACTTTCTTAAGTACAATATGTAATCGTTGCTGAGGAGAGGCTCTTCAGTTTTCTCTTCATAAGATGGGCCCACCAGTGCTGAGTGCAACAAACTCTCCTACATGATGTGTTCCAATTTTTCACTCTAAGCCTGAAATGTCAGTTTCAGTTGCCCTTTTTCCATCTGTAAAAGCAGCAAGAAAGCTATATTCCTACTTGGTTGTGAGTTCATGCAAGGTGTGAACTTATCAACAACACTTCTGTTTCATTCAATAGGAAAACTGAAGGGGATTTGCCACATGTACTTTGGTTTAGGCGTATACATAGAACAAAACAATTGGTTGCCATGCCAATTTAATTGACCATTTGGGAAAAATATTTTTCTTTGGTTTTTATATATGTGGCAATAATCAGCTTTTTATCTAAATGATTCTACTGTTTTTGTTTTTACAGTCTCCTCTTAGCCATGACCTCATCCTTAACCTGACTCAGGACGGAATCAAACTGCTGTTTGATGCTTTCAATCAGAGACTTAAGGTAAAAAAAAAAGTCATTAGGATAGATTCAAACCTATTCTTACAATTAGTTAAGTTAACAAATCCTTTTATTTTTACATCGTGTTTATATGCCTACTTTAACACACTTTTGCAGTACAAGACTATTGCTGTGTTTCAATGGTCAAACTGTTTGTAAATAGAGAATATTTTAATATTTTGAAATATATTGGGCATTTTCAAGAGTGATCCAGTGATCCAAATGTGACCTCTCTTCCCTACTCTGTTCCAAATTGGGTCATATGCTAAAAATGGCTGAGATCAGATCCTGCATTATTGCAATCTGTGTGGATGTATGGTGGTGTTGGGGTTTTTCCATTTACCCTTTTATTTTTTGCTTCCATTTTATCCATATAAACATTTATTTATCGCCTAATTATTGCTTTCAGCTGAACTAAGTTCACGGTATACTCATGTAGCCACTAGTACACCTGTAGTCGTGTGGCATCTCAGAAGACCAAATTCAAATAAACAGGTACTCCTCCATGGAGTTCAGCTTACACTGAATTGGCATTTGTACCAAAGACTGAGATCATCAGCCCAACAATGCTCCCAGCAGTATCCATTAAGTGGTGCTGGTCTCAGTGCGGTGCATCTCCCACGAATGCTTTGCAGTTTCATCACATTTACAAGAAGATAGGCTGGTTACAACTAGCCTACTCATAGAATTTAGGAGAAACAAAGAAAATGCTTCTCTTGAGGTGACATGGTTCAGCCAAGCAAATAGACAAGTACAGGTGTGCGACTCTGTAGAGATTTGATTAGGTTATTACAAAATTAAAACACCTTAGCTGTGTATTGGTTGTAGGATACGGAGCCTTTCACTGAGTCACCAGTTCAAGTTCTGGCCCAAATTTTGACCAGCAGTCAGTGTTGGCCATTCAGTAGTCTTTCTGAAACAACTTTGTGACACCCTACCACATCCTGTTTCTAGTGGACAAGGTGTGATGTGACAGAAAACCCCTACCCATCTGGCACAAATTGACATGCTACTTGGCATCACCTGTACAAAAGAGAAGTACTGTGTGAACATGATTAGTTAATCTACACTGTCAACCCTGACAGTGGTTTCTCCAGGAGAGGGTGCCTTACATCACCCTTCCAAACCACGATTAAGGGAGATATATGGCACGGGTTCTCAACCTTTTTCTTTTTGAGCCGCCCCCCCGGCCACCCCAACATGCTGTAAAAACTCCATGGCCCACCTGTGCTGCAGTAACTGGTTTTCTGCATATAAAAGCCAGGGTGGTGTTAGGGGGTAGCAAGCCTGGGGCCCCATGCCACAGGGGCCCCCAGGAAGCTACATTGCTCAGGCTTCAGCTTCAACCCCAGGTGGCGGGGCTCAGGGACCTGGGCTTCAGCCCCAAGCAGTGGGACTTTGACTTTCTGCCCTGGGCCCCAGCAAGTCTAATGTTGGCCCTGCTTGGAGGCCTCCCTGAAACCTGCTTGAGGCCCCCTAGGGGGCCCCAGACCCTGGTTGAGAACTACTGATATATGGAACCTTGTTTTTTCTACCCTTGGCTGTACCTGTTCTGTCTATAGAGAACTGCACTCTCCAAGCTTTCAATTTAGGTTTCTCAGGAGCACAAAAATCACTTTAAAGCCACTACAGGGCTGAGGGGAGGAAGTTAATCAACTGAAATGTAAGATATTCTAATAGACTAAATATTTGTGAATTGCAGTTAATTTGGATTGTAAATTTTAACTAAATTTAAGATTTCTTTGTAGTTCAGTACCAGTATTCATTCATATATTATATAATTGTTAGATATATACCTTAAATGTTACAAATAAGTTAATATGGGCATTTTGCAGACTAATTTTCCATTAAGAGTCAATGGAAATGAAATGAGATGTGGTCAGATATTTTTCCTTCTTCAGAATGGGCCGGACTATAGTTTATAATTGAATTGTGGAGATTTCTGTTTATGAAATCCTTCCTGTACTAATGGGATCTTGCTGTCTTTAAAACAGAAGTCTCATTGATATTCAAACAGCGGAAGTGAAGTTAGGGTTTTTAACAGGATTTTTTAAAGCTGTTTTTCTGTCAGAAGGAGCTGCATTTTCCCACAGTGGGCAGTTGCTTGACTGTAGAAACTCTCTTCAGTAGCATAATTTTTTTAAAGAAACTGAGCTTGATAAGATTGGAATAATCACTTCAAGTATACATCTCATTTCCTGCCATTTATATGAGCCTCTGAATCTCATTTCTTAATGAATAAAACAGTTCCCCCCCGCGCCCCCCCCCCCAAATCTCTCACTTCAGTTTTTGAGAGGGTGGGATCAATGTCATTTGGATACCAATTGCACATATTCAGGAGTTTCCCTTCTATTCTTCCTCACTCTTATGTGTTTAAATTATCCTCCTACAGCCCATTTGTTTAAAAATAGAAGGGTTAAACAAACTGATCTGGTTTACTGGTGCAGCAAAAATGCATTTTGGTCTCTAATCTTAGATGGTCAACAATTCTGTTGTAAATTGTGCAAACTGTACAGTTGTAAATGGATATAGTAAGTATTTTGTGAAATTTAACTGATATTTATAAAGCTGCTTTGAAACATAGTCTGTGTGCGCACACATTTATTGCAGATCACTTCTTAGTGGAGTAATCAGACTTGTTTGAAGAAGAATTTGGTTTAGGTGGGGGTTATTAAAGCCTGCTGTAAAGATGGCATGATTCATTTTAGTTTCTCTATGGTTCAGAACCCAAAGTTCAGCTGTGAAACTAACAAAAATCATGTCACTTCACTCTGCTGTTACTTGAATAGTATGCAGCTATTAGAGCTGGTCATGAGGAAGATGACCATAAATAAAGGCTTCTAGAAGGTAGAATGGCAGAGTTAGGAGGCTAAGGGAATAGTGACAATACCCATGAAATGCTTTTTGTGCCTGTGTGGGTGAGAAGAGACCCCTCTGTACCTTCCAGCAGCCAGAGGCATGCTGAGGTCTTTAAGTCTATTGCATGTTTAGCCAGAGGCTGAAATGAAGCATGGTGCTCTGGACCAAGTTTTAGGGATCGCGCTCTAGTATGAGTCCAAGTACCTTTCCCCTCTCCCCCGGCTCCCATTCATCTAGGGAAGGAGCTAGACTTCCACTATGCTGTCGTTTCCTGTTGCCTTGCAAATTCTACAAGCCCTGTAAAGTATTAAATATTTGACCTGTAAATGCTCTAAAATTCTTTTAATATTAGATTAGAGTAAATTGTGTAAACTACTGATCTTTCTCAAATGTAAGCCAAAAGCTTCTTGATTATGCAGAAATTGATCAATAATTGGGTTTGAATGCTGCTGATTACACATTTGCTTCTGTGGGCAGTGGAATAAATGCCATGATTTGTCAATAGTAGCTAAGCTAGTTTTTAAAAAGTCCTACTTTAGCCTTATGGCTTATTGCAGTGTTTCTTCAGTGGGTGTGTCTGCAGTGACTAGGAGCTTTTGTAAATTCACTAGGTATTGCTGGACTGCATAATTATCTGTAAATGTTCCAGAATAGAGCCTGTTTCCTTCTTGTTCCTGCAGTTAATAAGTGTGTGCTGGACATGAATAGATTTTGAGTTTGAATAATGAGATGATGATTTGGTTAGGCTTGGAAGAATAGGATTTTTATCTTTCAATATGAATTTCACAATACACACACAAACCAATTAAAACATATTTCTATCAATGATAATTGAAATTTATGGATAGGCATAGTAAGAGAAATATTGCTTGAGAACTTATTGGAATTTGATATTTAAGAATATTTACTTAGTATATTTTGACATGTGATGTTGACAACTTGTGTTTTAATGGTTATAAAACTTTAACTTGTTGATTCTCAGTGTCTGTCATTCAGTAATTGTTTAACTCCTCCCATAATGTGAAAACTTAAATCAATAAAAAAGAAAAACAGCTTAAAACCCATAATTTTGCCCAACTTTGAAAATTTAAGTTTATAAAAGTCAAAAGTGATTAAAATAAACATCAGTCATCCACTGAAATAATAAAAAAAAAAATTGAATTCTGTCAAGCCTACTTATGATGAATTGGCACTTTTTTGACTGCTGTCAATGACTGGAGCTCATTTATTGAACACACTGTTCCCTTAGCTGACTGTTCTCTTTCTATGTTCTCTGATTCATCCTTTATTGTATTCCTGGATTCCATCCTTTATTGATTCCAGCACTCATAAGAAGCTTCTGAGTTTTCTCCATTCTTGGGGTTAGGCTAGATATTTTTTCCCTCACTTCCAGAGATGTCCATGTGCAAAATAAGAGTGTGTGGGGGATTTGAGAAAATGGAATTTGGAAAAAAAAAAAAATAGGACCAGTACTGACTCACAAATAACCCCATTTAAATGATCTTCATTCTTAGTGAGGCATCTATTAGATCATAGCAGGAAGTCTAGAAGAGTTGAACCAAATTCTCATAATACAAAGTAGCCAGGATTTTAAGAATCAGAACTAGGACAACTATATTAATATATAAACTTGCTTTAATGGACAGGAGAGAAACATTTGTTCATTGGGGGTGGGTTGGTTGGTTTTTTTGAAGGTGAGTTTGCCAAATAAAAATGTGTTTCGTGCTCAGTTTCTTAGTTGTCTAAAGTGCGTGGGCTTTTCCCTACATACTTGCCATTTTGCTTGAGGAAAGTTTCATTTTCTTTAGAATCAATGGTATACCCTTAAACATGAAGTACTTATTATACAGGCTGTTGTGTGTAGTTTTAAATGTACATTATAGTATTTTATATGGGGATATTCGCCAAACAAATTACTAAAACAAGACTTCCTTCTTGGTTGGTGGCATTCGTATGAATTTAAAACCATGTATGTTCAGTTAATATGCAGCATTTCCTCCAGCCACAGAGGGAGTGCTTCTGTTAAAGCTTCATTAAGGATTATCCAGAGCAGCACAAGGCTCCCTGTTTTCCCCACAGCAGTTAGATACCATTCTCTCTCTTTCTTTCTGCAGCAGCTGGCACAGGAAGAAAGGTATCCAGATTTGGGAGAAAGCCTGTGGGGATGGAGAGGGCCAAGATTAATCCCTTTTTATTCACTGAAAATCTGCTTTAGGCCCAATCTAGCATCAGGACCCATTAGTGCAGATTCCTATTCCCCAAGGAGACTCATTGAGATCAACAGGAATCCATCTAGGTGCAAGAATCTGCACTAATGTATGCAGGATCAGGTCCTCATAGTGGAGGTTCTGAAGAGATCTCTAAATTTAAACAAAAACGATATATACATAAAACAAAAATATTAAGAGTTATTATGCCTCTGGTCTGCTGTTACCCTTTTTTATGGATTGCTATTGTAAGAGTCTGTTACAGCACCGAAAGCCTTTGGATAGGCGTCTTGTGTGTTTATATCTGCCACAAATCACCTTGCTCAGTGAAAAAATGAGAGAGAAGTTTGAATATAGTGAAAGCTGTACAAGGAACCACCATTTTTAGGCATTCTGAAGAGTCCAACCCAAAGAATCTTCAAATGTATTGAAGGCACATCTGTAGCACTTCCATTAGGAGACCACCTCTCTTTGGTAACCATTTACTGTCACTCCCTTCAGAGATTGCTTAAAAGAAATTGCTCCGTAGATACTACTTTAGCCCCCAATCTGCCAAAATGATCCATTCATACAGACCCCCATTGAAGTCAGCAGGTTTCATGCAGACGCAAGGATCCACCCTTGCACAATCAGTTACAGGTTTTTTGGTGCTTGTTTTAGAACTGTGATAAACTCTTCACTAATTTATCTTGATTTGTTTGCAGTGTTGTTATATCTGTCTTGGTCCCAGAATATTAGAGAGACGAGGTGGGCGAGGTAATATCTTTTTGTGGACCAACTTCAGGACCTGAAGGAGAGCTCTGTGTAGCTCAAAATCTTGCCTCTTTCACCAACAGAAGCTGGTCCAAAAAAAAACTATTACCTCACCTATCTTGTGTGTCTAATCCAGTGGTGGGCAACCTGCTGTTCACAGGTTGCACACGGCCCGTCAGAGTAATCCACCGGCGGGCATCTGCAGGCATGGCCGCGCGCAGCTTCCAGTGGCTGCAGTTTGCTGTTCCTGGCCAATGAGAGCTGTGGGAAGCGTCAGCCAGCACGTCCCTGCTGCCCGCGCCGCTTCCTGCAGCTCCCATTGGCCGGGAACGGTGAACTGCAGCCACTGGGAGCTGCAGGCGGCCATGCCTGTGGACAGTCAGTGTAAACAAACTGACTGGTGGCCCGCCAGCGGATTATGCTGATGGGCCGCCGGTTGCCCACCACTGGTCTAATCTGTCTTGATTCAGTTAAAACCAAACAGATTTCCACTTGAGAAGGTGAACTTGCAGTAATAACTTTTAACTTGGGTCAGTAATCTGCCCTAAACATCCTATTTCAAACTTGTGTGAAACTGCAATAATTTTTTCTATTTTCTGTCTTTCAGGTGATTGAAGTTTATGACTTGACTAAGGTGAAGTTAAAATATTGGTAAGTGATTTAAGATTACCTTGTGTCATTGGGTCACACATGATTTATTAGTTACCTTCTCTTTTTCACTCCAGTCATAATTACTGGACTGCGCTGAATTTTTGTCTCATTAATTTCTCTTCGGAAAAACAGTTGTGTATTTTTTCATCAGAAGTTAATTTAATTATTCAGAAGTAAAAGTTATAGGTGGTGTTCTCATAATATATCAAATTAAAGAACATGTTCTCAACAGAAATGAGTTCTGGGTACATTTTGAATAGGAGTCTTAAGTGTTTAAGGTGGTAGGCATGATGCATGTTGGATCAGTATTTTTGTGGTGCCAGTAGGATTTGTTTGGGTCAATTATACTGTATTTTGTTGATTATGCTTATTATAATTATTCTGTTTAGCTGGGGAAGAGCTTTCAATTCTTTATATGCTACTCTAACAGTGAGAACAAAATTCAGATCACCTTCCTAAGCATATTCCCTGTGTAGATTACCAATCCCCTGTCCCTTCTAAAATTTGTAGACTTTCTGCTCTAAACTTATGGTATTAAATATTTATATGTAGCACGAAAGGGGGGCGTGGACTTTTACAAATAGAATAAAGGTTCAGTCTCACCTGTAAGGACCCTTAAAATCTAGGGGCAGATATTACATCAGGGCAGGGGAGAGAGAAGAAGGCTTGCACAATACAATTGAGGTTTCATGTTTCACACAGACACGCATTATGTGAGTTATTTGGAGATTACTAGGTCGATGTAGAAGCCTGGGTGGTATATAGTGCTTGTGTTAGTGACTGGCAGAGACTCCCATTTTACTGGGAATCTGGCTTTTTTCTGGTTGCCATCAATTTTTCATCTTGTGTGTTCCATTCACTGATTGTTTTGCAAGTGTAAATGTGTTGATAGGGAATGTTAATTAGGTAAAATAAACTGAACAGCATCCCACTGCCACGTACAGTATGTGGTATTATATCTAGATTTATTTATTTTTTTTTATAGAAAGCCTGTATCCCATAATTATCAAAGGTTAGTTATAATAAATGATCCTTGTGAAATATTTAATTGACATACTATTGTAATGGTTTATGCAAACGAAAGGCAGGATTTCTTTGATAAAATCAAAGGTACATCATTTTCTTATTCTCAAAAGCCCACCTTATGAGTATGGAAATGTCATTGTCTATATTTTTCCTCTGAGTAGTTTCTTGAGCTCCAGAGCTGACCCTGAAACAGAACGTATCAAGACTTTTTTGTAATGGGAGTTGAAGGTTGGAAAGCCACATACATAGAATTATTGTAGAAATACCCACAGATGTTTGCAATAGTTCAATTTAACCAAAAGATCTTTTTTTGTTGTTTTTTGTTTTGGAAAAGAGATCAGTGCTCACTTTCCCACATGGCTGTCCCTTCAAACTTCTTTGTTATATAAAATGGCTGTAATGCCCTTCTTTCCAAATTTCTTGTAGCAATCATAGAATTATAGGGTTAGAAGGGACCGCAGGGGTCCTTTAGTTTAACCCCCCAAGCAGTGGTATCAAATGATGAAATCAAGGGGTCAAATTCTTCTCATCAAAGCAAAACTCAAAAAAGCTGCAACTCGTGGATTTGGGAAGTTTTCATATTATGTGTATGAAGGTAGAGTCTGATTTTATAAATCCCTTATTATCTTTTTATAGACGCCTAAGGGCCAAACCCTGCTTTCTTACTCCTGATATTCATTCAGAGTAACTCCACTGACATCAGTAGAGTTATGAAGGAGTAACAAAGAATAGAATTTGGCTTTAAGAATTATTTCCCTTCTGTTACAAAAAAGTCATACAGTTTTTTGGCTGAGCTTGTGAGGCCAAAAACTCAACTTGATGGCATTTTTCTGTTTAGATGTCACACTAACTTTTGAACATAGCATCCAATCAATTCCAAAATTACAGCGAATCTTTAATAGAACCCCTCATCTTAGATTTGCCCATCCTCCCATGTGGTTTGCAAATGCTGACACCCTGAAAAAGAGAGAAAAGGAGAATATGAGTGGCAGACACTGGCTGGGGGAGAATGGGGACACACAGAGCCCCTGGCATGAGGGAGAGGGTAGGGGGTTGCAAGGAGCCTCCTAAAATAGAAGGAAATGGGAGGCTGGCTCGAGGATCAATGTAAGGAGCCCCTTGTGTGTGCAATGAGCTTGGCTGACAGAAGCAACAAAGCGAGTGACCCCAAAGTATATTTGATTCTCCGTACCTTATTAAAACATGAGGTGTTTTCTCTGGTACTGGATTGCTATGTGAGATAAATGTAATAATTTTCCCTTGAAAAATGAGTTTTCTGAGCATTCTTATTTTTGTATCTAAATGATTTTAACTAATGAACCCCAACTAATAGCCTGCTCCTTAGTGATGATTCAGTGGCTTTCATTTTCTTTTTCAGTGGTGTCCATTTTAACTCTCAGGCAATTGCTCCAACCATAGAACAGATTGATCAGTCATTTGGAGCAACACATCCAGGAGGTAGGCTACGGTATTTCTGAGATCATCACTTACTAGCTTCATCCAAATGAATTCATCTCTTAGTTAACATTAAGAATGACAAACTGTTCTAAAGAATATGCCGTATTTTCATATGAGAAGCCGATAAAGCCTTCTGATCCTAATTGACATGAGTTATATTGTTTTTCAGAGTTTTATCACATTCTTATACTTTACAAGATATTCCCATTATATTTAAATTTGAATGGTGGCCTACTTAGTTAACTAAAATAATGTGAAATATATGTGGCCCAATAATAGTATGTTCAGGTAGCATTAGTGTGCTCACTCGAACCCACAATAACAAGGAACTTCTGAGGTCTTTCCTTTATTCTTGTCTAGTTTAGATGGAGAGAGAATTTTCTCAGGCCATGTCTACACAAACGCTTACTGTGCAGCAAGTTGGGGTATAAATCTCTAGCATGCCGTGCACTAACTGTCCGTGTGGACCCTGCTGATACGTGCTACAAGCTTCAAGCAAAAGTATGTCCGTGTGCCCTGGGGAACTTTTATCATGCATCAGCAAATCCATGCAGGCTGTGTGCTGGAGTGCTGTAGATATATACACCTCAGCTTGCCACTCAGTAAGTGTTTACGTAGAGACGTCCTAAGTCACAGTGTCTGGTTAACTGGACTATGTTTGGCTAAATGCAGAAAAGTGGGTGGGGAGTGAGATGCCCCCCAGACCCAAGGTAAGAACACCAGACTGCTTCAGTAGCTCCTCATGGCCACTCTTCAGTCTGGAGATTGGAACAGCTGGCAGACCTTCTCAGCACCTGCACAGGTGTCACTGGATCCATGTAAACAGACCACATTGTCATGTGATATGGTCAGCAGGATCCGCAGCACTCCCAGCATGAATCACACTGGCTTCAAGGTGTGGCCTTCTAATTTATTAACACAAGTACAATCAGTGTACAGAAGAAATGAGACAAATAAAGTACAGACTATAAACAGATAAATTCTCCAAATGGGCCCAATACCCCCTTCAAACTTCTGCTCAACTGAGTTCTATCTCATCAGGTTGCCCCTTTGTATTCTTGATAGTTTGTTCTATATAGGCACTTGCTCCTTTCTTTGATCATTTACTCAGCCTTCTATTATATAGAATCACTGAAGAAAAGGGAAATCCAACAGAAGTACATTACTCAGTGTTTTTGATAGGTGATGAAAAGAAACAATGATTACTGCAACTCCTAGGGCAAAAGGTAACTAGAGTTGAATTACCTGTTGGGGAGAAGCCTTGGACAACCAAAGTTGAGTGCAGCCATAAAAGTGAAATAATTCCTCCCATAACTGGGGACTGGGGCTTGTGTCAGAATAGGCAAAATACCATTTATGGCATCCTTTCTCATGTCTCTCTTTTGGCCTTGTGTTCAATCCAGTTGCTGTGCTCCAGGCTGGTCCTCCATTGGCTAGTATCAAGACACTCTATGGTGTGTAGGGATGTACATCTCCATCTCTTGCAGTCTTACCGCTCTGCAGGCAGCTTCTTGGACAACATATTGCAGGGATTGAGCGGTGCGGAAGGCTCTGCAGGGTCTGTATTGAATTATATTCCTTTAACTCGGTAATGGTGCCAGGGATATAATTGGATAGAGACCCTGCAGTAATTGGATACCAAACGAGTAAGTGAAGGCTGGGAGAGTTGTAGCCTTTACACTGTGAATGTCCTTGATTTTCCATATATAAATCAAGCTGTAACACTATATGAATGCAGTTACTGGGAAATGTTTAAAGGAGAAAAAGAGATCTCGCAAACCTATGAAGTGATACCATGGACCATAACAATATTTATACAGCTGTAAGACTTGTTTATCTAACTTGCTGTATGGCCATGTAAATCTGCATTCAGGACTTTAAAATTGCAGCGTAACAACACATCTTGACCTTTCTGACATATTTGTATGCATGTCATATGCTTAAGAAAAATTGTGCACCAGCTTTGTTCGATGCTAATTTTCATAAGATCATCATCCAGTGACAGTAAACGGGAAGGTGATGAAAGACAACAACTTCTCTTTTGTTTGAGGTTTCCCTCTTTGCTTTTGCCACTGTTGTTGTCTTCACCATTTACAGCAAATATTAAGTAATTCTTTGCAGTAAATTAGGGCCCATGACTGCCAGAACTCTTCTGTGTTCCATATTTCGGAACATCCTATGCAAACTGACTGGTAAACTGTTTCTGGCTGATGCTGCTTTTAATGACCATGGTTATGCCCTATAAAGTCCTAAATGGCCTGGGACAATCATAGTTGATGGATTACCTCTTTCCATGTGCCAGACCACCACAGCTGTGGTCTGTAATAATAGCTAGCTCTTCAATAGTGCTTTTTATTAGTAGATCTCAAAGCACTTCACAAAGTGCTCATTATCCCCATTTTACAGATAAGGAAGGGGTGCTTGAGCTGGAACCACTTTGAAAGGAAGCACTGGCAGAGCCTTCATTGTGATGACCCTGAGACTCTAGAATTTGTGTACACAAACAGACACACACCCCTGGTTCAAAGTCATGAATTTAATGACCATCTGGGCACAGTGCAAAATGTCTGTTTGATAGGGTTTTTGTAGTTGGCTACGGTCATGCTTCCTGTAATGAAGAAGGGGTGGGAAGGAGGGTTTGGGGGGAATGGGGTTGGTGACTGACTGGCTGAGTTCCTGTTGAATGAACTATTTTAATGCTATTGAGATTTAATTATATTGTTAACACTGTGTTAGGGTGCTTAGAGTCTTCGATAGCCATTTCTTTAGTTATTTCTCTTTATATATTACTTCTTAAGATAGCTTGACTTCCCTGTGAAAGTATTACCTTCTTCTCCACTCCCTGTTTCGAGACACTTCACCTATTTGTTTCCTGTGATGCAGCAGAGTTCCCGCTAAACTGTCTTTGACCTGAGCAGGCTGCAAATGCCACTACACAACGGTTTTGTCTTTGGGCAAATGCACGCTTCTCAGGGAACAGGTCTTGAGGCTGGGTGAGGTGGCTGGTACGGTGTTAGCCAGAGGAATAGGCAACTGGAAACAAGGGAGGTACTGTACACAGTGGTAGCAACACAGCAGTAAGTTAGTTCAGTGTAAGAAGACTTAAAAAAAAAAAAAAAAAAAAAAACAGTGGGGGACACCATAGCCAGCCGCCACCTCCTCCCTCAAGCCCTGCTCCCCTGGCTGGCACCTAGGTCCATGCCCCTCCTCTTCCCCCCCACCCCAGCTGAAACCATACCTGACCATGCACACCCCAGGGCCAGTTCCCCCGGCTGACAGTGGCCCCGTTCACCAGTGCCATGAGCAGCCCCAGAAAAATGAGGAGGATCCAGTCCCCACCCACCTCAGAAATCAGGACCTTCTGGCTTTGCATGGTGCAGACTATCAGGAGAGCACATGAGCCTGTGTACCAGTTGGGGTGGCGGGGGGGCACAGGGAGGGGCAGAGCCTGCGGGGCCAAGAGTAGGAAGGGCGCATTCTCTCTGCTCAGCCCCATGGAATGAGAGGGATCCTGGAGGCAGAATCAGCCCCACCTCCAGGACTGGCAGTGTATATGATTGGGAGCGGGCGATATTTGGAACATTTGAGAGAGAGGAGGGAGGATTTTGGGGGTACTCAAGGAGAGTCACTTTGGGTAGTTTGGGGAGGATTCTCAGGGAGCTGGGTGTGTGTGTGAGGGGCAACCAAGGGGGAATGTGGCAGGAGGAGCCATCAGGACAATTCCTGGGGTGTTGTCTTCCCTGGAATGTATATGATGGTGGGCAGGGTCCCTGGGAAAGATCAGAAGGGTTACAACTCCTGCTCCTGGGATCTGTGGAGCTCCTGAGGGCAGCAGGCCCAGATGGACATGAAGTTGTTCTGTGCTGAGGATGGAGGGAACTTGCCTTCATGCAAGGTAGGGGAAGAAGCAAGTGACATGCTGCCTTTCACTGGCACATTCCCTGTAACCACAGAAACCTTCCTCCTCTCGTGACGGGGAGCAAAATCTCACATGGAGCCTCTTCTTGCTGTGGCCTTGGCATTCACATGGTCCGGAGTCAACTCTACTGCCATCATGTTTGTTGTAGGCAGTGTGGCTGGGTGCCTGTCACCTGACTTGGGGCTGAGCAGCAATATTTGTGATATACGGCATATTCCAGGTTGTTCCGTGTGCACGCGGTTTATGGGGAACGTTGCTGTGATGTGAGATCTTAAAATTCCATTTTATGTCATGGTATTTTATTCTTCTCGGATATTTTGCTGAGTCAGGAGCATGCAGAAACAGCAGACTGAAGTGATACAAAGAGCTGCTAGATCTGAACTAGAGAAATTACTGTCTCTTTCTGTAATTCCATTTTCTTTCTTTTTCCAGTGTACAACTCAGCTGAACAACTCTTTCACCTCAATTTCAGAGGGCTGTCTTTTTCTTTTCAATTGGACTCATGGGCTGAAACTCCAAAGTACGAGGTCAGGAATCATTCTTAGTTAATAGATACTCTGCTTGTTTGTTTTTTGTCTTGGTAACCGTTGCAAAATATCACCTATATTTGCCTGCAAGCAAAACAAGCCCTTCATCTGGGTGAAATTTAAGTCTTAAATTGTGCTCTGACGCATTTTCTTACCTTAAGCATAATCATTTCAAAGCCAAAGATCATGCCTGGCTTTTAGCAGAAGGGTGTGGATGGAGGGTTTGCTTCCAAAACTAATAGGGAGTAGCATTTTCATTATTGAGCAGAATCTCTAAAATTTGCTTCTCAAATGTGAACACCCAACTAATATCTAAAATATTTCAGTTAAAGTAAGCCTTGCTTTTGCTTTAGTTAATCTCAAATTATCTATAAATTCTGTTTGAATTCCTCCAAAGTGATTGTGCAGCTAACTAGAATAGAGGGCGTAAAATACGCTTGCTAGATAGGAGAGTCTGGAAATCAGAATTACGTGTGTTATGCTATATAGGTTTCCTTATTCACTAAATGTTTTGATAGGTTACTAAATGCGTAAGTGGGCCTAATACTATATCCATTGAAGCTGGTGACATATATCACACTGACTTCACTGGAAGCAAGATCAGACCTACTATGGTAATGCTGTATAACTCACTTCTGTGTTAATGAAAATACCCTCTATTGTGTGATCCATTCTCATCACCTAAAGGCAATGCATATTGTACAGTGTTGGATTCCATGACCAAAACTGGAAGGGGAGGGGGGGAATAGGTTAGCCAATATAGTGGCATATGTTCTCATTATATGAGCTAATTCCCAGATCAGTAGGCTAGCTATGTGTAGAGAGAGCATTTAGAGGTTAAGGGCATTGCAAAGAAGCTTAATGACTTTTGTATGCGTCTTCAACAAGTAAGAGACTAGGGAGATACCTACCCAAAAGGTATCCTTTGCAGATAATTGATAGTGTCCGCAAATGAGGTGTCAAAAAAAGCATTGGAACAAATTGATAAACTAAATAGCAATACACCACCAGGATCAGATGGTATTCACCCAAGAGTTCTGAAGGCATGTAAGAATGAGCTATCTGAACTGCTTAATGAAAGATTTTATTTTTATCAGGTATTCTACTAGGAGACTGGAGAATAGCCAATGTTGTGCCTATTTTTTTTTTTTAAAAAAGAGCTGCTAGGAAAGAACTTAACCATTGTAGACCTATGCATCTTATTTCAGTACCAACTTTGACGGACTAACTGGAAAAATAATTATGGGTAGTTACAAAACACCTAATAAGAGCATGTCTTGACAGGGTAAATTGTGCCTCTCAACACTATTAGAGTTCTTTAACAAGAGTCTCCAAATAGAAGCTAGAATTGATTTTCACTTTCTAAGCCTTTCACAAAGTTACTCACAAGAGGCTATTAAGGTTACTACGTTTTCTTATGATGAGAGGTAAAGTTCTTCCATCGATTATAAATTGTTGGAGAGGTAGAAAACAAAACTTAGGAATAAATGATCAGCATCAGAAGGAGATCAGCAATGGAGTTCCCCCATCAAAACATCCTGGAAAAGTGGTTGAACAGTGAAGTAGTGAAATCTGCAGATGACAGTTGTTTGTTTGAGGATTAGGAAGGATTGTGTGGAAATCCAGAAAGACCTCACAAAGCAATGAATGTCATGTCTGTTGCAAAGTACTACATATTGTAAAGAACACTACCCAATTTCAGGTTTCAGAGTAACAGCTGTGTTAGTCTGTATTCGCAAAAAGAAAAGGAGTACTTGTGGCACCTTAGAGACTAACCAATTTATTTGAGCATAAGCTTTCGTGAGTTACAGCTCACTTCATCGTATCAAAAGTTCAAAGAACGCCTGTAAGCCTCCTTGTGGGAAAACGCAATGAAAACTTCGGATCAGTGTAGTCAAAAGGCAAACAAGAATTTCATCTGTATTTAGAAATGACTAGAGAATAATACTGAACATATTAAAATGACATTGACAGTCATTTTCCTTAAATACTATTAATTTGGTTTTCTCTTGTCTTAGACTTCCAGATTGTTAGGATTTAGGACTAATTACGTTAGAAAGGAGACAGTGTGTGAAATGATAGCGATATAGTGAAACGTCAGTTATTCCTGCTACGCTTCCTGTTCTTTCTTACAAAATATTTTTTCATAGTAAAAAACGTTGACACGTTTAGTTTAGGTGAGGTCCTATTGAAGTAAAACAGTTAAAGTAGGAGACTCTTTTGCATATTTATTTTTTCTGTGTGTTGTTTCTGTGTCTTTGTGTTATGGCAGGGAACAACATAGCACGACAAATTATTTTCCTTTCCAAAGCTAGTGGTGTGTGTTTGAATAATGTTGTGGAGACAATCTTTTATAGGTGAAGTTTATGTTCAATATGCATACCTGTAAACAGACTCACCTAGGACAGTCAGATTTCCTTCTTCAGCACCACTCTTCTTTAACAACAGATTTTAAAATCATTGTAAAAATTATCCATACATAAATAACATTGAATATTGTTGGAGGGATTGGAGAAGGAAAGAATACTGAAAGGAAACAGATAAGTCAAGGTATTTTCTCTGACAGAGACATTCTCCAAACCAGCAGAGGTACAAACATTAATTCTTAAACTTTTGGGGAGCTATTAACGGGTTTTAGAAAGCAAGCGTGAATAATACGACAAAAGATTGATAAGATTTTAAAAAAAAAAAAAATGTCACCCACATGTTAAAGGCCCCATTTTCTATAATTTTCCAGGACCATAAATACTGTAGTATACCAGAACAAATGCTTTCAAAGCCTATAAACTTTTTCAAACACTAGTCCTGAACTAGAGTGTCTTGGGTATATGTTTCAGAGTAACAGCCGTGTTAGTCTGTATTCGCAAAAAGAAAAGGAGTTCTTGTGGCACCTTAGAGACTAACAAATTTATTTGAGCATAAGCTTTCATGAGCTACAACTCACTTCATCGGATGCATTCAACCACTGAATGCCTCCGATGAAGTGAGCTGTAGCTCACGAAAGCTTATGCTCAAATAAATTTGTTAGTCTCTAAAGTGCCACAAGTACTCCTTTTCTTTTTGGGTATATGTGTGGCTTATGTTAGGGAGCTGAAAAACTATAGCCATCTGGCAGAGGGTAGGTTAAAGAATTGAGCTTTTCCACCCCACCATGAGCATCAATGAACAGTGTAGTGCAAGCTAATATTTTCCAGTGGCTTTTTTTCCTGCAGTTGTAGTGTACAGATATTCAGGTTAACTATACCTAGAGATGTACGGTCTGTATTTACAAATACAGTTGTCTGGTGCAATATTTTGAATGGAAATGTGTGTTTTTAGAGTAATGTATATGTTTGTCATACAGTATATAATAGTTCAAATGTTTTTATATATCCACAGCCTAACTTTGCTCATGGCCTAGCTTCTCTGCAAATTCCCCATGGTGCAACTGTGAAACGAATGTACATCTACAATGGAAACAGCCTGCAGGATACCAAGTATGTATAGCTGATTTGTCAAGGGTGGTTAACCAATATCTAAAATGATTTTTTCTCCTTTCCCTAAATCAACGAAGATCAAAATTGAACTCGGAGGATAGGTGGGGTAGTATGGAAGAAGCAAGTGAGACTCAAGAGAAAACTCTTCTCCAAAAGTGAGGTTACATGCTCCAAGAGTGAGGATACGAGCTGTATTTGGAAAAGGCACTGTACTTACACAGTTTGCATGTACACTAATGCCCTTTATTTGGCTAAGTGAAGCTGACTAGAGCAAGGAACAATATTTTTGCTATTTGTTTGTACAGTGTCTATCACAATGGGGCCCCAATTTCTGATTAGGGCCCTTAAGCTTTACTGCAATGCAAATAATAAAATAGCAATCTCCGTGCTTATTTAGCGTATGAATAATATGTCATATATAGCTTATTTCTATCCCATTGATGCTCAGGGGATTTGTATGTCTAACTTCCGTGAGTATGAATGGGAATTACTTGTATAAATCCCTTATTAATAGGAGAATGAATCCTTATGTCTTTTTTTCCCATCTGAATGAACTGTTACATTCATATTTGACATGGCATTTCATTGTCCCATATTAAGCAATACTGTACTGTTACCGTTACTTCAAGGTTCAGTATTTCTGAAAGTATTTTTCTTCCTGGGGAAGACTAATGCCCGGATGGATTAATGAGCAAGAGAAGGGGATACATTATAATGGACCTTGTTTATGTGGACATTGTAGTCTAATTAGAATCAAGCGCTTTGGGAAAGTTTTCCTCCACCCATCGGTGGCATGGTGGGTTTTAATATATGTGTGCATGCATAAAAGCCTCAGCTCACAGGCAAGTTATGTATTCACTCAGGCACAGAAAAATGCACATTATTGGGAAAAAATAACTTTAAGGGAAGTACACATATTGTCTTAAAAGTATATTACCTTTCTGTAAATTCCTTACCTGCTACTGTTGCAATTAATTAGGTGATTATAACTGAAAGAGATTTTAAAAAGGAAAATTGGCAAGTAAACTGAGGAACAGATGGTGCAGCTTAAACTTCTTCAAAAAATATTAATTGTCTAGAGTTCATGTTGATGATGCCCCTTTAAAATAATTCAGATACTTTGACATTTAGAAATGGTGACAAATGACAATGTGAATCAATTAAAATCTAGGGACTAGGAGGCACGTGTTTTATGATCTTAAAATAGACTTTAGATGCTAACTCACATCAACAAACCACAGCAGAAATCAGTACACTGAGCCATCTGTATTCAGGAATGGTCCAAGACTGGACTAGCAGGAATACTTGAGCTGGAGAGTGAGAAGTGCTGGCAGTGTCATGTGTAGAAGCCTCCACATTGCACACACATGTTGTTTAGTTCTAGCGGCAGCTGTGAGTTAAACATGTATAAGCACAATATGGCCCTTATTTTCACAAGAAGTACATCTGAAACCAAAAACTGTCTGAAACAATATGTTCCGGTATAATGTGAGATATATAATTATAAAGTCCCAAGTGCTGGATGCAGCTGCTGTAATTTCTAGATCTTTTTGAATTGGTTTTTAGTTAGTAAAGGACCCAATCTTTCATGTTGCATTTTTATTTATTGTGCTGCTTAACAAGGCTGTAGACAGTGTGAGCTTTTTTTGAGTTGACCGTCTCAAAAATTACTTCAGCCCCTTCATTCTAGGTGAGTTAGGCTCTCCCATGTCAACACTAATATGCTTTGCTTTAATGTATTGTACTAGCTTCTGTCATTGGAGAGTTAGCAGAAAATTCTTATCTTAAGCATTTCCAGTGTTTGTTTTTGTTATATCTGATCTAACTGTTCCAGGGCTCCCCTCATGCCCCTCAGCTGTTTCCTTGGTAACGTGTATGCAGAGAACGTTGATGTTCTGAGAGATGGAACTGGACCCTCAGGTTTACGGCTCCGCTTACTCACTGCAGGTATTACTGAGAACAGATGTTTTGTTGCCCTCACTTTTAGTCAGGAAAGGAGGGACAAATTCGAATGAAATATGCGTTAGCTATCTTACTGTCTTTTCATAGGTGGGTTTCAAAATGTTTTGCACATCTTCTTTTAAACCCCCTATGAAACAGTATCTTACCGTTGCTGCATATCCACACTCACGGAGAAATCACAGATGGCTGTGGAAACTTTTTTCAATTCCAAGTTCATGGAGTTTCTTGTTGGCAGTGGAATTTGTTTTATTCTGTGCATATGCCCAGAAAAATAAACAGATGCTGTCTGTCATAGGAAAACCCTGTCAGAAACAATGAAACCTCAGGTAGGTGTGTGCCCTGAACACTGAAACACCAGCACTACACAATGCCACTGTCATTCTAAATTCAGTGGAGGTGGCATTACAAGTGACATGAGTTGATTGGTATTTACTCTGTGTTCTCTTGATGGCTGGACATCTAGACTAAGAAGAAAGGTTTATTGCCTGCTCAGAGATGCCACTAGGTGACTGCTCCTTTAAAGGGCTTTAAAGTATTGTCAAAAACATATTCAGTTTATTTCAAATTCTTCTTTTGAGTAGCAGGGCTTATTTTCTCAGTGATATGACTTTTTTAGACATGGTCATGTTGAGAGAACTCATATATTCTTAGTACACACAAGGTAAAAAATGGAGGGAGGGAAAGCTTTAAAAAAAATGAGGCGTAAGAAACAATGAATAAAAATGTAGCAGATTTGTTAAAGTTACTTTGCTTCTGTCTTTACAGAGGAAGATAATGGAGAGCTGCCTAGGACAGGGATCATATATCCTGGTGTAGTAGGGAAGGAGTTAGCTATATTATCCAGATAATATAAATGGTTTTGAAAAATTGGATACTTTTAAGGTAGAGTGTCATGTCTAGATAACATACATACCTGAGACTTAAAGGAAATGATGTTAGCAATAAATAAAATCTTTATTAAAATGTTATATTAGCTGTCAGACTTCTAGAACTTGCTAAAGGACAAACTTGCCATGTATCATTCTTTCCTAGCTGAACTTAGTTCCTCCAATTAATTCATTCTCCACCCCTTCTAGAATTAGTTTCTGTGTAAGTGAGTTAACTTACAGTAACTCTTGCTGAAGAAATCAAAGCTGGCTTGATTGGGTTTCCTTCTCTTTATAATACTTACGAGATACCACAGACCAGAAGGCAGCACTAGCTAGCCGCCTTTTGGCTCTCAAGAAAACTCTCTCAATTACAGTGAGAGAGCTGTTTGGTAAGAAAAACTGAATTCTCCATGAATTGAAAAACCACTTCTGGAAATCATAAATAAAAATACTAATTATGCTCTCAGCATTACATTTAAAATTTTTCTCTTAGAGGCAAGGCATGTTTATCCCTGACTTACATCGCTGCCCAACCACTAGCTAGACATAGCGGGTATGTCAAAATGGGCAAAAAGTGTGTGTGTGTGTTGGGGAGAGAGAATCGTGTTAACACATTTGAAAAGCCCTGTTAGGTTGCATCCTCGTACTTTGGAAGCCATGTTAGCTGGCCATGTTGTACCTTAGGCTCCCCATGAGGCCTGTGAAGACATAGTCAGATAGGCAAATACTACTTTTATGGCCTCTGTTGTGATTCAGCACCCTTTCACACCATGATTGCCTTACTTAAGTGATTTTTGGCAGTGAAAGGCTAGAGCTGTAGAGAACTTCTGGTCATGGGATTCATGTTGGAGCCATTGGCGACATAGTACAATTAATCTTGCCTTGTGAATTGCCCATTTATGCCTATCCAGCAACCAGCTCATCTAAAACTTTAATTCTGGTATATTGCACTTCAGTGCCCTCTAATATATAAAGAAATTAATTTCCTGATTTGTTCATCTGATTTTTGTTTGGGGGAGGTTGTTTATTTGTTTTGGATTAAAGCTACTTTGGTTGAAAAATACCTTGAGTTGTAATGCCTACGCAGCAAAGTAGAGAAATGGAACATTATATATACAGTGATTCCTTTCATAATTTCAAACAATGTTTCAACCATGCATCTATGTAGCTGTGATTCAGTGCACTTATTTAAATAAGCATTGTGTGTATATATGAATTTACTTACTGTGTAGCTAATAAAAGCTAGAAACTCTCCAGTGAGAATGTGATGTATATTTCTTTGGCCTAAAACAGTACTGACTAAGAATTCTGTTGCACGGGCCTTATTTTTTTGTCTGGTCAGATTACACACTGTTTTATAACCTTTAAAACCGTACAACTCCCACAGTGCTTCCAATACTGCAGTTAAACCTCTTACAGACATAGCTAACTGCTCACACTTATACTTGATACCAATTGATCAAATTTGAGACTGACAGTGCAAATAAGTAAACTGCATTTTGAAAAATGAAAAGAGATAGGGGAAGAGTTGTTCTTATTCCACTGCTCAGGGAATCATACTCAATTAATTTAGCCATTAAAATAAGGGTCTGTGACAGTTAACCACATTACCTAGATGAGACCTTTTTGTGTGTAAACTGCCATCAGAGTTAAGAACTGAATTCAGTACAGCAAAATTGTCTTAAAGGAACTTCTTTGCATTCCATCCCCTTAACCAGCTAGGTGCTGGGATTTGTGATTATTCATTCTTTGTGTAGTGTTGTGATCGAGGAATTATGAACATTAGGCTGTTGTTCCCCATTCTTCAGGCTGTGGCCCAGGTGTATTAGCTGATGCCAAGATGCGGGTATTTGAGCGCTGTGTGTACTTTGGTGATTCATGCCAAGATGTTCTGAGCACTTTGGGGTCTCCGCACAAAGTCTTTTACAAGTCAGAAGACAAGGTAGGAAAAGGCACTCCTAATTCTAGGGCCATGTCTATATTCAGAGTTGCTGCAGTTTAAAGATGGTGTGGGATTTTTTAACTGATTTTAAACAGGTGCAAAACACAGGCTGGACATTCTCTTAATCTGATTTAAACCTGGTTTATATGGGTTTAGTTTAATTTAGTAAGGAATCAATAATTGATGTATAAACCTAATTTAAATCAAACTACAGGTGCCTACACTGTCTTGCACTGGATTAACTTAATCTGCTTCCAAACCAATGTAAACTGCTTCAACTTTGAATATGGACAAGTCCTAAAAACTGTACGCTGGTTTCTGGGTTATTTTTTCTTTTTAATTAAAATTAAAGGTACATTTTAGGTAAAATTTGTGTGTGTTCTTTATGTTTATAATATGAAAAAACACACTCACTATTTATGTATATAATACACACACACACACACACACACACCCCCTCATGTCAGATCAAACTGTTGCCAGCAGCTGGTGATCCTGCAGTAAGCATGAGGCTTTACATTTTTAACCTAATTATCATTTATATTTATTTAAAGCTACCTCCACAGCAGTTTTCACTTTTAAACTCCACAGCAGTTTTCACTTTTAAACTCTTCTGAATTCCTCCTGCCTCATCTTTATTTCACTGAAAGGTGTAGATAGAGGCATATAAACCTTTTTCTGTATTAGGCAATAGAATAAGTTTTTCACAGATACCTGGAGGACTCTTCTCGCTTTGCTGCCAGGAGGAGGCATTTTCAGTAGTCTTTTCCTATCTCTCACTTCTGGGTGCAGGGATATATGGTGTGTTAACACAATAAGAACAGAGTATTTAAAGATGGATTCCTTTAATTTAGAGTAATCTTTTTATTTGCTATTTATATAATGCCGGTAGTATAATCTTATTTCTGTGCTAGGCAATCCCAGCTCCTCCTGTTGAAGACATTTGGAGCTGACTACTACATAAATATTCTGATAAAATTCCCTTATCTCCTAATTGAAATGGAACCCCTCAGTAGTCTGGGTTGTACATAGCCCAGATTAGATAGACTCCTCACAGTATTAAAATATAAAATACTTTTTCACGAAGATAATTTAGAATTTGAATCTGAGAGAAAATGTATGGACACTAGTGTGAAACCAGACCTTGGAAAATTGTTTTTAAAGTAAACGTATTGATAATACTTTAGCTATGGTAAGCACTGATAAATCTATATGTGGGTTTCTTTGCAGATGAAAATTCATTCACCCTCCCCCCATAAGCAGGTTCCATCAAAGTGCAATGACTACTTTTTTAATTACTTCACGCTTGGAGTGGTAAGTTGAAGACTTCCATAAATAAGCCATTTTTAATTTGAATCAGCCATCCAATGTACCCTTTAGAGAATGACTAAGTATCTCACGTTGGTGTTTGATACAAGTACTAACATTGTGCAAAACTCTCAGTGGTTGCCTCAGGAATCTTTGAATATGAAAAATGGGATTGAAAATGCTCAAATTAAGTCAGACTTGAACAATGGTATTTTACCATTTTCCCACAATCCATGGAGTGGTTCTTGAGTGTTTGTCTGGCATCCCCTTTAGTGCTCTTATCACACCCCTAATGTGTAGGAACAGAGGCCCTTGTTTCCAAAATCTAGCCTTTTCTACCCCACCAGATACTATTTCGCCGTTCCCATGCCTGACTTTTATTTTTTTGTATTTCTGTGGAGTTCGTAACAAATTTTCCTCCCATGTTCATCTTCATTTTAGCACCTCAGGTAATTTGTGTCATAAGCATGTTGGCTTTCCATCTTGCATCAATGTAAAGTGAACTATAATAGGCAGATAAAATAGACTTGCTCAGCGAAACTGCTAACATTAGCAATTTCAGCATCAAACTAGCCATATAGTTATAGTTGCATATGCACTTGCTGGAAGAAATACAGATTTGAATTTATACATAAAATGTCCCTCTTATATTGTAAAGGCTTTTTTTGTTTTGTTTGTTTTTATTTTTACTGTATCGTTAGACCCTTCTTACTGCATATTGAGGAAAAACTACATTCCCTCACCAAACTGTTTTGCTCGTGTCTATCTCCTTTGTTTTCAACAGGATATTCTTTTTGATGCAAATACTCACAAGGTGAAGAAATTTGTCTTGCATACAAATTATCCTGGTCATTACAACTTTAACATGTGAGTACAGAGAAGTAGTCTAGAAAAATGCAAACTCTGCGACTAGTAAATCCTGCGTCAACCTTCTATAGTTCCTGTAGTTTCTGTTGAGCAGCTTTGATTCATCTAGTGGGAACTTGAAAGGATTTCAGGCCACCATTGTTAGGACACTTCTTAGCTCTGGTTTTTAACTCTTGTGCATTAATAAGTATACATTAGAAAGAGACTTATGAGGGGACAGCAAGCACTACTTCAAAGTCACATGCCACGTAATGTTTAATAATAAAACATCACAGCATAGATAGGAAGTACATACATTTTTAGAGAGGATAGTCATGAGCATTAGCAAACTTTTAAACTTAATTCTGAATAGTTTAGTTATTAGTTCACTCATTATAAGCAGTGCTTGTACAAGGTGGACTTTGTATATTTGACAAGTAGAAACAAAACAGCATTTGGGAAGTTTTAGCTGTTAAAACTATAAAAGTGAATACACTGGAGTGTGGTGAATGTTGCAATAGTCTGTAGAGAGCCTGTAGATATTTCAGTGGCTGTTCACAAGAAGACAGAGAACAGTGAGGTCACATAATCTAACCAATAACATGGTATTCTCCCATAAATTTCCCCAGTATTTTTCCCCTTCATTGAAGAGCTGGTGATGCCTACTGGCAAATGTTGTTCAGAAATGGGTGTGTTTTATTTGTAATTTTTTTTGAGAATTTTTCATTTCTTCTCTCTGGATGACAAAAGAGAATGATTTGCAAAGACTGTTTCTTAAAACTTCCCACTGTTTATTTCCCAACTGATGATATAAGCCTTCGACGTCATATTTTCCACATCAGTCTGTGATTTCATAGTCTTTGTCTACCCTAGGAAGGGTTTCTGGCATAGCAATACCAGCAAACTCTCTTGGCGACACACAGTTTATATCAACAGTTATTTTGCCAATACAGCTTATACCAGCTCGCTGAATGAAATAAGCTGAAGTAGCAAAAGGATTTTTTTGCAATTATAACTGTGGCTAGGGCTTTTGCTGATATAGCTATTTCAGTTAGTGGTGTGGGGTTTTTTCCCCACACTTCTAATCTCTAGCTATCTTGACTACAGTCGTGTTCATGCCCGCAGCATCCACATGGGAGTGTTACAGTGCAGCACTGTGGCGTGCACTACTATTTGCACACCGTGTCTGAACTGTGGGGCAGTGTGGATGTGCCCTTAGTCACAGGGAACTGCTCACTAAAGCATTTCTAGGTCCATTTGTGCTACCTAGTTTCTGTTGATTCCTGTGTTTTGTAACAGCTTTACAATTTCAATGTTCTAGATACCATCGTTGTGAATTCAAGATTCCACTAGCCGTTAAGCGAGGTCAGTAATCCATCCTCCTGCTCCAGGGGTTTGTGAAAGAAAATACAAAAGGGAAAAGAGTGGACCAATTTTCACTTCAAATATAGTCTCAAACAACAGAAGATAATAGAAGTGCTGACGATAGTAGGAAAGAGAGATCTTTTGAACAGTTTTCTAGTATGTGTAGTAAGGAAAATGTTTAAAGATTTTAGTTCACTGGCCACTCCCGCTTCATTCTTAGGCTAACCTTCCTTACCCTGAGCAGGCCTACGTGTGTGTGGCTATAACATAGCATTGCTAGTTTCCTGGAGGAGTGCTGCTGCATGCGTTGTTAACATGAATTATGTTGTTCATTAAGGCCCAAAAGTTGTAGGGCAAAGTGAATCTGATCTGATCCTTCCAATCTACCTTTGTTGAATTTTTAAACTGTTATCTTGATAGTCACTTATGAAACTCTTTTCCCTTCACCACTCACAAGGTCTGTTTATTATATTTAATGTAATTTGAGTTATTCATAAGAATAACTATGACCCTACAGTATGTGGCATATGCCTCTATGTAACTATCATCTGGGAATCTCCAGGCTCAGGAAAGAGTTTAGGACTTTGCCTCCTAAGTCTCTTATTGCACACAGGCCCTGATTCAGCAACGTACTCAAAAATGTGCCTAACCTTTAAGCATGCGATTAATCTCTTTAAAGTGCGGGGATACTCACATGCTTAAAGAATCATAAATTTTAAGGCCAAAAGGGTCCTTTATGGTAGTCTAGTTTAACCTCCTGCATAACATAGCTAGGCATGTGTGTAAGTACCTTGTTGAACTGGGGCTTTAATATCCTAGACAAGATATAGAATGCTGGCTAAACTGCTGCCAGAGATCCCTTTGTCATCGTACCCACTGACAACATTGATTGTCTCCCTTGAAAGCACTCACCTGCATAAAGCACAGTGCTTTGATGGAAGTCACATCAGTGAGAATCTGAGTTGGGATGAAAATAAGGGAAAGGAAGCGGGGTGGGGTGTACACTTGTGTGTGTTTAAATGAAAATCAAATTTATGATGTACCTGAGAATACCAGCACTTACTTCCCTTCACTTCCTATTTAAATATGTTTCCCTAAGGCTCTTATGCAGTTTTTCACACTCACATTTCAATACTTGTATTCAGTCTAAGTAGTTTTGTGCCTCTATTATGGATATATTTGATTTATTTTATTCACCCTTTTCTTTCCCCAACATGCACCCACGAGACTGAAACTTAACAACACTGATAGTATGAAGTCCATTGAAAAGTCTGTATACCCTTCCATGGGCTGGCAATGTGCAGTGCAATTTTATCGCTGACAGTTCATTGGTGTACAGTGGGCATATTACTTAAACACTGAACCCAGCTGTATTAGAAACCACTTGCTTGGTGGTGAGTGACAATATAAATGAGCCTTCGGTTGGATTAAAGAACACTTTATGGTTGCCCCCAGAGAAGATGTTTTCCATTTTAAAAAGTCCAGAGATGGAAGGAAAACACTCATAGGCTGGAAAAATGGCCAGCAAGGAATTTGGCGTGCCTGGTTTGTTGGAACTGCAAACCATATGTGATGCTGTTCCTCCATTCTGTCTTTTTTCATTCTTGTGAGAAACAAGAAATTCAGATTCCCACGATTCCTGCGTTCTCTGCTCTTCAGAGAGCAAAGTTCTTGTACACTTCAGTTCTACCAGCTCATATAAATGGAGCCAGTCTGGAAAGCAGAGGAGGTTGGCACAACTTGTGCCCATATATTCATAATGTTTTTGGGGGGAGTGGGGAGGAGTGTTCCATCAAGGTGTGCCTTGCAGTTTTTATCTTGTAGGGAGCACTTAAACCATTTTGCTTTGGGAGTGACTGGGTCAAATCTGAGGATTTGTTGGCTTCTCAAATGCATACGGTGCTTAGTCTTCGCAAAAAGAAAAGGAGGACTTGTGGCACCTTAGAGACTAATAAATTTATTAGTCCGGCTCTGATGAAGTGAGCTGTAGCTCACGAAAGCTTATGCTCAAATAAATTTGTTAGTCTCTAAGGTGCCACAAGTCGTCCTCTTCTTTTTGCGGATACAGACTAACACAGCTGCTACTCTGAAACCAGTCTTTGCAAAGTAGCTCATCCACAAGAGTTGATTTGTTGCTACGGTATGCATATTACCTGACACTGTACAGTTTTGACAAGTCATTTCAGTGCACAGAGAGATAAATAATGTCTTGTTTCTTTCACTCCTATATTTTCTTTTTTCTCTTAGAAGCCATTTAAGCTTTAAAGCTTACTTTTTAAAATAGTGAATGGGCAAATCTGTGTCTCCAGAGTTATTACTTAATCTAGTGGATTTATGTTTAATCAGTGGGATTTTTTTGTTTTGTGTTATTTTGACCGCTTTGGTTATCGGTAAATTTTACTGCTCCAGTGTTATGTTTTCATGTTCCCTGATCTCTGAAATCATTTTTCAAACTCTCATATTGGATACATTTCAAAGAAAGTACCAGTTCAAATTTAATTTCCAGACGAGCCTTTTTTGTTTACCTTCCACAGATAGTTCGGATTCACAGACTGAAACGTGCACAACGTACAGCAAGGTGAGTCTTCATAAAACGAACGAGAACAGTTGCCAATATAAATTCCTTGGCTGCTGAGTGTGCAGAACTCTGACCATGTGTCACAGAAATAATAGCAGTATAGAAAGATGGTTTTTAAAATAAGAGAGTTCAAATTACTCTCCTCCCACCAAAATTTAATTTTAATTTTTTTATGGATTTGGATTTCTTCAGTGAAATTGTTGTAGTTCAAACTTTTTACTCGTAACACGGTCAGAAATATAGTGCAGTCAAACCTTGGGCTTTGTCTTCCAGTAAATTATGTTATGTTTCCCATTTTAAGGCAGCTAAGAAAGATTAGAGATACCTTTGAAATGTAATATTAATGGTGAAAATCAGGAGTTTAGCTAGAAATAATTTTGCATGGATGGATTGACAGTAACTGTTACAGATTAATTAAATATCTATAGAGTAGTGACAAGATAACTCTGCATTCTTAGGAATTTCATTTACCCAGGTACTTTTTTCAGAGTACACCTGTGAATTTTTTTTGGCACTTGCTTTGGGGGTTGTCTGCACTTCGTAAAGAACTTTTTGACAGTGGTTTCTATTGCATAATGAATGACCCGTCATTCAAACCTTCTGAAAACAGTGTAAAAAAAAAAAATCCACCAGATAACAGTAAATCAGTTTTTTTGGTTAAATACATCATGTATTTTACCAAGCAAGGAAGCATTAAGTAGAAAAGCTTCCACTACACATGCAGAGATGCCTTTGACATCCAGGTAGGCATAAACACCACACACTTCTACCCTGCAGCACTTTTAGTTCCTGCCAGCCTAGGGAATGAGACTGGGCTTGTGAGGTGAACCCAGGTGTTATGGTAATTGGAATATCTAAATGCCGGTGCAGAGTATTGACTGCTTTACTGAAGGCAGGAGGCCTGTATCCTCCTTTGCTTTCTGGTTGAATTATTTGATATACTTCAGTCCTTCGCTGCATTGTTACTTCCCTTCAATATAAAGCTAGCTTCATAAGCTGTCATGCCACAGGAGTGGATAGTACTGGGAATTCTCAGTCAAATAAATACTATGCCTGTCTTGCATAGTGAACCAACCAAAGGCTTTTGTAACTGAGAAAAGGCAGTGATGCTAACTTGATCTCAGCAAAGTTCTAAGAGAGTGCCTTCCTGTGGGAAATTTCAGATGCCGCCTTCTTTGAAATATCTCCTTAAAATGATGGACACTGTGCTTTGTGTTTCTGCCATCAATCCCACAGAGGTTATAATAATATTTCATTCTTTTTTTTTTTGTTTTCAATTAAAGTCCACTTTCCATCTAAAATGGAAGCTAGTTTTAAACTCAGAGCAGTCTCCTAGCTGCAGGTTCTGCTGAGTAAAGCTGGCTCCAGTCACAAAACACTCTGTAAACATAACCTTCATGCTTCATGGCACTCTGTGCTGCCTTGTGGTTTGCACCAACGCTACAACCAAAATGTGCATGAACCTCCCCCTTTGTATAAAGAAAAGCTTTCCTGTCACTCTCTTATTCTAACACCCTTTTAATGTAATTACAGTGGGATAGTATTCAGGATCTTCTGGGACATCCTGTGGAAAAGCCAGTGGTACTTCATAGGTAAAGATGCTGTCTGTCTTATTATCCTGTATTGCTGGCAGGAAGTGAGCTGATGACAGATGATTACCGCAAGGATAGGTCTGGTAGTAATTATCATCAGGATTTATGCCATCTCTTTGCTGCTGAAGCATCAGTTCTGCTGCCTCTAGCTAGGAAAGCTCACTACCATTTGGGGAAATCAGGAATCTGTAATATGAAGCATGGGTGATCTCAGCCCAATTCCAGTGGGCAGGTATCCACAATGCAAATTATCCACATACTTAGCACCCTTATTAGCACTTGGTCTCAAAGGATTGAATGGGCCTGGAGTCAAAACTTCCTTCCTCACCCTTTCTGGAGGTAGCTCCTCCATGCAGGGTTGAAGAACATGGGTGGAGCAGTATGTGAAATTTGCACTACTTCTACCTGTATTATGCCAGTTCTGTGGATAAAGCACGGGCCACAAGTTTGCATGGCTGTCATTTCTAGCACCTTTCACCAGCACTGAAATCACTTACAAAATGTGAGTAATTTTGTCGAGTACAAGAGTGAGAGCAGTGTGAGGCTAAAAGTCATGGTCTTTCATAAATCTTTTCAAAATCTTTCATAAATTTCAGAAATGCTTAACCGTGGCTCTGTTTTCACCAGGCTTTTGCTAATTACTATTGAGTTTGTTTTTAAATGATTGTGGGCCTGATTCCTCACTGCATTACTCCAGTTTACTCCTGTAAAATCACTAGGGCAGCATCAGGATAGAACTATGGTAATGCACTGTTGAATCAAGCTCTTCCATTTTTAATGTGGATTGTTCAGAATAGTTCAACTAAACTTGCTTTATAAGGCACATTTGCTATGTCACATTCAGTTAAAGAAATTCTCCAATTGTAGAAGAAGCCAGAACTTAAGAATAGAATATATCTGGAAGAAAACTATACCCAGAAATCAGTCCTAACTACGCTGAAACTACAGTATAAACAAGTCTTTAAAATTTATATTTTCCAGGTGTTTTAAGGATCTGACCTAAAGTCCATTGCAGTCAGTGGGAGTCTTTCCTTTGACTTCAGAGGGGCTTTGGATTGGGCCCATATTCACTGACTGCTGCAATTCTCTTAAAAACAAAACAGCATTTAGTTCTTATATAACTTAAATGTTTATGAAGCATATGTGAAAGTCAAGAAATGCATTAATTTTCTAAAGGTAACTCTAAATTTAATTAGGCATGTCACTTCGAACCTACTTTGCTAGAGATTCAATATATTAAAATCACTAGATTAATATACATGGTGCAGAAGATACCTTTAAAAATAGGGTTCCTAGTAATTTTCACTTGAAAAAGGAGTGGGGGAGAGATGCACACGTGTGTGCATGCACAGAAAGGTCTCGTTGAAAAAAGTCCTCGTTTTCTTGAGCTCCTTCTTCTGTGTTACTTGGTTTATGTTCAGTTTTTCCTCTCCAGCCTTGGTTGAATAAGATCGGTCACCTGCAGTCACTAATAACTGCTTATTTTGTTCCACTAGGTCCTCCTAAGTCCCCCCATATTTCAGCACCACTCTGAGGTGTGACCCATTTGAAATCCAAAAGCAGCATAGCATCATAGTACAGATAAATGTAATCCCTCCCAATTTAAATAATCTTGGCATAAGAGAAATGTGAGCAACTTGCCACATAATAATGGGTGGCTGCTATTTCTCATGAAGAAATTCCAACCTCTTATGCACCCATTTTTTTTTTTTTCTTTTTTAAGGTCATCCTCTCCAAACAATACTAACCCATTTGGATCAACGTTTTGTTTTGGACTGCAGCGAATGATCTTTGAGGTTAGGAAAAAAACTTTCAAATTCATTTGGGTGGGAGAAGATGGTGTGGCGTTTGCTTCTGGATTTTAATGCAGCTTTTTGTCTTTCCTATATACCTACGAGAGCCAGCATTCAAGAGCATCTGTAATATCAGGGAACATGGCACAAGTGGGACATTTGCCAACCCTCTCCCCAGGTTTAATGCATCTCTTGTGTTTAAGGCTGGTGCATCTGTCTTGTCATACATGTCTCATACTATTGGGAGACGTGCTTAGTTCTCACAAAATACTTGTGGGCGGTGGTGAGTGCCCGTGTTAAACAACAAGTGTGACTCTAAAGGAAGCCTGGAAATTTAATAGTAATTTTTCAGAATTGGCAAAGATCTTTTAAGTGTTTTAATTCCACCTGTCAGTTGCTTAATTTTTTTTTTATCTCTCTTCATTCAAGCATATAAATACTGTAACTGTGTCACTTGCAACTTTCTGAGTTCCCTTTGGCATATGGGATTTTTTTTTTTTTTAATTTCTCTTTTTTTCTGCCATCCTCTTGCAGGTGATGCAGAATAATCACATAGCATCTGTTACTTTGTATGGCCCAGCAAGGCCCAGCAGCCAGCTGAGAACGTCGGACCTTCCTCAATGAAGCATCATCTTCAAAATCAGCTAATCTAAATGCTACAAAACTAGTACAGCGTGCCTTGATTTACTGCCACTTATATGGAAAGCATGGTATGATTTTTTTTCAAAATAAAATTCCTCCCTTCCATGCGTGGTGCGGAGGGGAAATTCTCTCAACCCTTCATCATAAGGCATGGAACTAGTGATGGAGGAAAGCAGCTAGATGCCTGTGTTGTCATTTTACTCCTCTCGGTTGGCCGTCTCCTGCGCAGCACAGACCTGAAGAGACTGTCTATCCTTCCTGAGCTGGCAGAAGGAACATTAATGACTGCAAGAGTTAGAAGCACAAACTTTCTGAGCCTTGGAGCATCTGGAAACAGGTATTGATATTAGTCTGTGTTTGTGTTACTGTATTGATGTGGTGGTCCTATTTTAAGAAACCAAGTGTGTGTGTGTGTGTGTGTATACACACACACACACACACACACACAAATATAAACACGTCGATATTTCTGTGGCTTAGGACATGGTACCAAGTGTGACAAGGGTGTATATATGTCCAGGATTTCAGGCACCACATCTTTGTGTAACTTCGGAACAAGCAAGTAGCATGTGCATAATACTTGGTTGTGTACCATTTGCACTACATACACTTTAATTACTTGATAAACGTTATCTTCACTGAGGAGCATCTGTGTACGGGGTGTGATGGTTATTTAATGTACGCTGTGCAGTAAGCTTATTTATGTGGTGGACTGACGAATAGTCCACCTTCCTGCACTAATATTTACTTGACGTGCTGAAGCAATTGGTTTTCTGCCATGCCTGGTTTGCTAACTTTTTTTCCTATGCCGTTTCCCAAAAAAAAACAAAAATCTGGAAGAGATTATTCCTATGACTGAAAGAAGTGGGTGTTGTTTTTTTTTATACCATTTTTCTTCATACTTAAAAATTTTTAAAAATACGTCCCGTAACAGAAAATGCAGGTGCCTCATCTCTCGATGTACTGGAACATGTTTGTTCCAAACCCCCCAGCTGCTCCCTATTTCCTGTAGAAAAGGAGAAAGGAAAGAGAATTTGTAGTGAGTACGTAGATGATTGAAAGAAAAATTCCCCAACTCCTCCAGCACCAAGCAACCTCTTCCCATGTCTTCTGAACTATGACTTTTATTTAATGCCAAAGTTTTAGCCAAAGACATCCTCAGTCTAGTTTCACCATCTCTGTATATGTAATCTAACTGCACACCCCACCCCCAGGAAACCGGATATAGGCTTTTCTCTAGTCAGGAAATGCTGCTCACTGCATTTTATCTCAAGTGGAATGCTTTGGGTTTGTAGTTCTCTTACAGTCTTATTGGGGAAAGTAGTGTGTGTTCTTTGACATATTAACCCTTTTTAAAAATGGAAAGAGAAATGTATAATTTTGTCCCATTTTTAATATTTTGGTGTAGCAAGTTGTGATACATAGACAACGATTTTGTGAGTTTTACAATGTGTGTACAGATTTTGTAAATATGACATTTTTGTAATTAACGCCATGTACAGTGTAATCCTGTATAGTTTATCAGTGAATGGGAGGTAGGAAATAGAATGTTAACTAGTGTTTTGGATCCTGGACCAGTAGCAGGGATAAATGTGATTTGGTGTGTGTGAGTGTAAGAGTTTGTGCGTATGATATTCTTTGCCATTTAGTCTTCCTGTATACTGTGACATTCTAGAGTGTTTTACTAAAACAAAAAAGCCCTATTGAGAATCTATCTAAAGAAAAAGTTACTGTTTACCTTCGTTATTCTTAGGTGTTACTCCTGTTGAATTCCTGCTCAATCTGTGCTGTTTCCTGTGATCATTGCTTGCTGAGAAAATTCTACACCTCAATCTATTTCTTTGTTTCCTCTCTCATTTTCATTTTGGTTTACATAGACCTTCTGTAAATTAAACAGAATACATAATGAGCATGTACACTGAAAGACAAATAAAATGCGACTCTCAGTTACTGTTTTGTGTTGCATACAGTTGCTGGGTGTTTTTGTAAAAAAGTGGTGAATGCTTTTGCTTTATTTCATATCATTTACTTATTATATGCAGATTAATTTTACCGGGGAGTTGGAAATAAAGACCCCAGGGTTCTGCTCTAATCTCTAGCACTGGCTTGTGTAAACTTGGACAAGTCACTTAAACTGTCTGCGCTTTAGTTTACTCTTATGAAAATGCATTTATTTCAGAATGTAGCTACCTCACAGAGTTTTGAAATGTAAGTATTTATAGAGCACTTCAAGATATTAGAATAAAAGGTGTGGTATAAATTCATGTTTGTTCCTAAATATAATGCTAAAATATGATTGCTAATTATTAGTTAATTTTCTTAAATCTCTTTTGAAAATTGACCTGCATGAGACTCCAGATTAGGAGTTCTGTCCTGGGGGTGAGGGTTAGCAAAATTTTCACCATCTTATAGAGAAATATAGACTTTTGCTCTTCCATGGCTCATCCTTCTGAAAGGGACGGAGGCATCATTCTGCCAGCCCGACATGTCTCAGGAGACATGCTGCCTGCCTGGAGCCCACATCCCAGATGTTACAGAAAGTTCGCCGAGGCTCATCTGTTGGTCTAGCCACTGCCCCATGCTGCTCATCCACATGAGCAGATATTGCCTAGCTTGACCCCAAGCAGATCCGCAGTGACTGCGGTGCCCTGGGAGCAAGGGGGAGGGGAGGACACAGGCTGTGTTCTGATCCATCCTCCTGGTTGAGTGTAAGGACCCATGCAGGGACACATACATCCTGGATATGAATGCATGGCTGCACAGATGGTGTCAACAGGAGGATGTCTGCTTCCTTGACCCTGGGATGCTGTTCCGAGAAGGTCTGCTGGGAAGAGATGGAATCCACCTGACTAAAAAGAGGGAAAGCATCTTTGCTCACCAACTTGCCAGCCTAGTGAGGAGGATTTTAAACTAGATTAAAAGGGGGAAGGTGATAGCAGACCACAGGTAAGCATAAAAAATCCCGACCTTAACAGAAGGCTAGATGTTTGGGGGAGAGGGAAGGGAGCACAGAAAACTACACTATGGTTGTGACACTGCACCCCATATTCATCATAGTTGTATGGTTATGATATGATTATAATGTATGATGCATCTGGTACAAGATGCATCTTGTGAGGTTTCATTGGAAAAGTTATGATTTGCTGAACGATTGTCCTATTTGTGTGCATGCATTATTTTTGTATCTAAAGTTATGAATATTTACTATGTATCTGTATTTCAAATGTGGTTACACCTGGGTGACACCCACTAGGCAAAGTGCTTCCAGTCTAGAGAGTTGGTTGTGAAGAGCCTGTTCAGGGTAATGAGCCATTAGGGGAAACAGTAGGCCTTAGGAGAAGCATATTGCCCACCTGGTTAGCCTTCCTGTAAATGTTTCAGCCAGCCTGTGAGTAATGGCTACTATGACTCAGCAGGGCATGCAACCAGACCACATGACACCGAACTCCATTTTGGTACCTGTATTTTTCCACAAGCTGGACTGAAAACTGAGTTTGGAAAAAAGGGTTCCCACCATATGGAAAAGCTACATAAGGTGGGGTGTGACATTATCTCTTGGCCTCATTCTCCACACAAGAACTCCTGGAACCTGAGGAACAAAGACTGAACTGGGGGAAGTGCTGGACCCAGGCTAAAGGGATTTCTAGCCTATGTATGGAAACTTGGTGGACTGCTTGTATCATCAGTTAGGGTGAGAAATTGCTAATTCAAATCCTATCTAGTATTTTAGGCTTAGTTTGCGGTTTTGTTTATTTGCTAGGTAATCTGCTTTGATCTGTTTGCTATCATTTATAATCTGTCTTTCTGTAGTTAATAAACTTGTTGTATGCTTTATCTAAATCGGTGTGCCTTTAAGTGAAGTGTCTGGGGAAAATCTCAGCTCTGTGAGCAAAGGCTGTTACGTATCTTTCCCACATTGAGGGAAAGGCGAACTTTATTAATGAGCTTACATTGTAGAGATTTCTGTGCGGTGTAAGACAATATAATTCTGGGTTATTATATTCAGGGAGCTGGGAAATTGGCTGCCTGTCTTTGAGTGGCTTAGGTAAAGCACTCAGGTAACTCAGTTGGGCGTGTTGCACCACCTGTCGGGTGATATAGCCAGCTTTTCCAGGCCCTGTTATCTCCGACAAAGCAGTGTGAACAGGGCCAGCCCAGCTGGGTGGTTAGAAGGGCATAGAGGTTCCCACAGCTCCCAGACTGCACCCCGGGGGTGACAATCCCCATCACAATGGTCATAAGCCACAACAGGGAAATCAGTGGGAGAAACTGCTTAACGTCTTATATGACTATACGCAAATGCTTAGGAGTATGAGGAATAAACAGAAAGAACTAGAAATATTCGTACATAAGCTACTTAATTGGCTTCACACAAACTTGAATGGATAAATTTCGTGACTGGAATATTGGTATAGGGGTGTATAGCTTGTTTAGGAAGCAGAGGGAGAAGGTATTACATTATACATGAATATATACACTTGGTCTGAGGCCCAGAAGGAAGTGGGAGGCAAACCAGTTTGAGAGTCTTTGATAAAGATAAAAGGGCTAAAAAAAAAAAAAGGGAGGGGGGGTTAATATTGGCAGGGGTCTATTATAGACCACCAAATCAGGATAAAGAGGATGATGAGATATTGCTAGAAAAAATAACAAAAATATCCAGAATACCAACATAGCAGTAATGGGGACTTTAACTGCCAGGCATCTGTTGGAAAAGTAATAAGGCAAAACACAAAATTTCCAATAAGTTCTTGGAATGTATTTGGGACAACTTTTTGTTTCAGAAGATAGAGAAAGTAACCACGTGGACTGCCATTTTAGACTTGATTCTGACCAGCAGGGAGGAATTGGAAGCGAATCTGAAGGTGGAAGGCAATTTGGGTGAAAGTGATCTTGAAATGACACATTGCATGATCCTAAGGAAAGGAAGGAGTGAGACTAGCAGAATAGGGACAATGGACTACCAAAAAGCAGACTTTAACAGACTCTGAGAACTGGTAGATAAGGTTCCACGGAAAGAAAATCTAAGGGAAATAGGCGTTCAGGAGAGCTGGCAGTTTCTCAAGGAGGCAATATTAAAGGCACCACTGCAAACGATGCTGAAGGGAAGGAAAGATAGGAAGAAGAGTAAGAGGCCAGTATGGGTGCATCAGGAGCGCTTTTAATGACCTGATCTGGAGGCAGAGGGATCCGCTGTAGAGACGCTCACACCAAATAGTTAAAATGAGTGGGGATGGGGACAGCAAATTGTCTTCCTTGGCTTTATCAGGCGCCTGCCGCTGATCAGCTGAGTTAAGAATGTTTGGCTGGATGTGGGGAGAGGGGCCTTAAAAATGGTGTGGGGGAGGCCAAAAATGAAGCAGCTTTCTTTGTAGTAGCTGGTTGTAACCCTTTTTTCTTTAATATCTGTTTCTTTATTTGCTGCTGTTTGTCTTGGGCCAAAAGATGCTTGTCCCTAATGTAGGTGCATTAGAGGAGATGGCGTGGCATCTTGTCATAATTTGTCTTCTGGTGTGCAACGTATATGGGGTTTGTGGCTTCTGGCAGTTCTGAATCACCGAGGGGGGGTGGTGTCTGTGTTCCGTGAGTGCCGGACAGCACCCAGATGGCTGTGCTGCAGAAAACAGCTACGTCTTAAATGTGTATCCAAGTCTATCTCGGGCTGTGCTCCCCCTGGTGTCTCTGGAGACATTTATGCCTTTACACGGACCTTGCACTCTCTGGCCCCTACAGCACACTGCCGCTTAAGAGGTATAAATTACCCCCTTATCTTATTTAGTTGTATATATTTTCTCTTTGGAAAAATAATGTGAAATATAATCCTATTTCTCTAATCCAACCAGTTCCCAAGTGCAGCCCTCTCCAGCATGTGTTGCTGCCTTGTTTCATGAGTAGCCCTTTTGCCTGACTTGTGTGTAGCAACTCCCACAGTGCTGACCTTTTCCCAATTCCCCCTCTCTTTATAAAGCTGATCCTCCTGTCCTCCTTATCAGATATGGGGCCAAATCCTACTCTCCTTACTTCTGCAAGCAACCCATTGACTTCACTAGACTACTCACATGAGTCAGAGTAGTTCAGTAGCAGGGTTCATAGAGCTGTGTGCACTCCGTGCACTGTTTCCAACCATGTGATTCCCATCAGGAAAACCCAACTTTCCGTTGCCAAGGTCCATTTTACCTCTAGTTCTAAACAGATTTCATGCTGAAATGGAATATTCAGGCCGTATGTTCTAACTGATAGACGCACTAATGATTGCTCCCATTTCAGAACTGCATAAATCTTTCCTACAGCTCAACATCATGGTCAGATGGTGATTCATCATTATCAGAGCCTGGTTCAAAAGACACAGATGTCAGCTGGCATTTTCAAAGGGAGCCTATGCATGTTAGCTCCCAGCTCCTGTTGGAATTCAATGGAATTTGGGCACCTAACTCATTTAGGCTCCTTTGCAAATCCAAGCCTGCCTTCCTTATCAAGGTTTTATGCTTGCCTGAGCAGTCCACGAACTGTGCACAAGCATAAGCTTGCATATCTGAAGTCTTGCCTTTGGACCTGACCTAGAGTGCTCTTTAATCTAAAGTTTTTTTGCTCTAGAATATGAAGACTAGCTCCAAGACACTATTTAATGTAGCAAAAGCATTTACAGATTGGTGACATTTTACAGCTCTTTAGTGGAGGAATTTTTGCTCATCTTTTATTGAAAAAGCTGTTCTTCGTAACACTATTTAGTCTCGTGCTTGAAATTGAGGGTTATCACTTTTCATAAGCACCAGCATTGCATCTTATGCACCGAGACAAATACTCTTCTTGTTTATTGTGGTGTGATCACATGGGCTTTTCAGCCAAGTCAGAGCAAAATATCATGGTTCTGTGTGGTTGTTATACCAATAAAATAAAAACCAGCAGGATCTTATTAAAGGGAAAAAGGCAAAATACCACATTTATTGTGAATACAGAAAGAATCATAGTAAGCAGTTAGTTATAGTTATAACATTCCATTCAATCTCATATTTATTCACACATTCATTCATACAAACACACACATACACACACACACACACAGGTTCTGCAAGGTTGTTATCATAGTTACCAGCCTTAGAGTTGCTCATGCCAAGCCACTGGCCAGGTGGCCTGGACATGAGGAGGGAGCAGGGCCTTGTCAGATGCTCATGTGATGCTCCTGGAAGTTGGTTTGCAGAATCAGACCCCAAAGTTCTCACTTTTTAGAGTCTATTTTTATAGGAATTTCTTCCTATGCCAGTCTATGGGAATTGCTTCATCATGCTGTTGCTGAATCAATCAGCAGATAGCACATTCCTGACGGCTCCAAGATGTTATCTTGTTCTTTGGTTCTCCCATTCTTGAGGCTGTTGGGTGGATTCCAGTCTGCCCTCCGGGGGGTCCTCTGGTTATTTCCACTTGACGCCTTCTTCAGCCGATGGACACTGGATTCTTAGGCTGGCACCTCCCTGATCATTCAGTTATTATCCACACCAAGCATCCATCCACATACATCCTCCATCTCTATTTTAATCACAATTGTTAATACAACAAAAGGGCGGGGAGTCTCTGGGTGCTGTTTCTGTTGTTAGAGTATTGCGTTGAGTCTCTCTGTCTGTGAATTGCTTTGAGAACAGACTCTGTCTTAGAATGTACTAACACAATTAGCAGCTTGCAAGTTTCACACATAGAGGGAGAGAAACAGTACCAAAAACCAAGAGACCTCTTAATTAGTAATACCCTGGAATTTAAACTATGGGGAATCAAACTCATTTGTGATTGTAATACAGAACTTCTTTAATATGATCCAACATGGTGGAAGCATAAATAGTGAGGTAATTGCAATAGAATACAATACAACTCTATTCCAAGTCACTCCCTTCATGCAAACTACATTCCAAGATGCCTCAGAGTTAAATATAATCACCTAAAATAAGGAAGCAAGGGAAAAGGAAGGTAGAAAAGTTGTCTTCAGTGTTGAAACAGGACAAACAGCGGATGAGATAAAGGGACTTTGATCAGTCCCAAGCAATAACTGATTCACGTGATGAAATGTACACCTGTGCAAGTGGCCTGCAGGAAACCTATGCATTGTTTTGAGGACTCAGGTGTGACTTAAGTGGTGCATCATTCTCTGCTGTACCTGAGTGAATTTCAGCCACAAGGAATGTAAAGCTGCTTCCCAGCTGTTAACCTGGTTCCACATCCCCAGTTGACACTAATCTATCCTTTATTTAGCAGCAAACTATTTCTCTTGATGGGTCACAGCCATTTCCTCCCAGCTTATGGACTGCACTATTTTAAAGGTAAGGTGGCATTTCCCTTACAGAACAACCTTTTGAAAGTGGGGTTAAAACGTTAAACCTCTGCTTTTCGGTCAAAACGTGTGCCCTAAATTTAATTCATCTTTTCCCCCCAGTTCTATTTACATGTATATACGCACACTCAGTTTAACCATTTTAAAGCACTATGTATGATTAAAGTCTTGGAATCTACTGTAAGGGTTCTAAAAATTCCAATCTAGATTGTAATTTTTCGAATGGATCAGTATGGTCAGTCTTATTCCACGGTAAACGCACTTCACAGAGAATTTTCCTTTTTTTTTTTTTTTTTTTTTAAAGGCATCCCAAATGTTTTGGGTAGGCTACGATTATGTGACAGAAGTCATGGAATCCCTTGACCTCCGTGACATTTTCTGCCCCAGGCTGGAGCTCCCAGCCCCCGCCTTGGTGGGGGGACCCCACAGCTGCCCTGACACTGTGGTGGGGGACCCGTGAGCCCCAGCAGCAGTGGATGCTGAACCCACCTACCCCTTTTGTCAGGGATAATTTTAGTGAAAGTCA